GGTGGTCTTATCTGATCAATAGGCTCTCTCGTCGTCTGCTGAAGATATTTATAATTCAGCGGAATGCATTTGCTTTCAATTGCAAATTATGTAAAATTTACTGAGGCTCTGTCTCTGGAAAATCCGTGGATTGTTTCTCAAAATGCCCCAGACGATCCCAAGACGCTGAAAAGGAGTTTAAAACCCTCCTAAGTTTTGCCTCACGCTCGAATTTTCCAAGCAGAAGTAGAATGATTCAGAATCTTCTCTCAATATAACGAAAGAAACTCATTTCGGATAATGACTGATTGAACAATATCCAATTGGATGCGGTAAAATTGGCATTTGAGCGATACTAATCGCTTCACGTCATGTAAAATTTCTCGATTATAGGTGGAAAAAGCCCTGTTTAATGCTCCAAGTGATCCAGACACTGGCTTTTCCTCTCTGATTTAATATTTTCGCCTTGGCATAGAACAATTGCGAAGCGCATGTTTGCCCTTTGATGTTTTCGCTCCACCTGGCGCTATAAATTCCCTCCTCAACTCAATCCTTGCCAGCTTCCATCTTCGTCTTCTACCGTGCGCACAGTGACCATCGTCATGTTGTAAAAGTCACCACGGGAATATATATGGCAAAAATGTGTGCGGGATGGCGAGGAAGCGAATGATGCGAGCGAGAAGAGTGGAAAATAATCTGCACGCAATGTCTTAACATTTATTATCGACCTAAAGACTCGGACTTAGGAATCCAACCCTCTCGCTCACACTGCAGATTCCGGGTTGAGGAAAATAATGGGCGAGGAGGAAATTTTATGAGTTCACCCGAGAATCTCCTTGGTTGTGTGCACTCTTTAAACTAGTTGCTCGGGTTGTCTTGGGGAATTTATAAAGAGGCAAATTAGTGTCGGGCGATTTGTTGTGTATGCCAAGGAATCATTCACCTTTCTTGGGGGCTGTCCAGAGCCACTGGCGGAGTCCAGCTCAATTGATTTGCTTTGCCTGGGTGTCCGGATTTAATTGCACTCCATCTCGCATTTGGGCAGCAGAGCGACAAAGCTCTCATCCAGTGCCCTCGTCCAACATCAAAGAAACACCCTCGGAGTGCCACGATGAAAGGGTTTGCAGAGATAAAATGAAAATTAATTGAAGTGGTCGCGCGCGAGGGCTAAAAGGGGGTCGTGAGTGGCGGATTTTTCACTGCCGTGAAATTTATTTGTTATTCTCTCCGGCATGGCACTTACACGATATTTTCACCCCACTTTGCTGCCCCCCGCTCACTAGGATAATTTACAGACCATCCCCGCGCACAGAGAGTCCAATTTTTCACCCCAAATATGTGTGTGTCTCCCCGGGAACACACGCGATTAATTACAAATGCACTGGAATGGAATTTATTTTGGGGCTGCCGGACTACAAACATAAATTCGCAATTGAAATTCAGGCTGACGCCCCCGGAATGGGGCGCCCGTGCAAATTTAATTGTCTCCTCGGCTTGAAATGCTCGCAGATGGTTGATGCGTGTTGCCTTTGGGAAATGTGCTTTCCGGAGAGCGCGCGGTGAATTCTTCTCAAAAGAATCTGAGAATGCTTCATTGCGGAGAATGGAGTGCGAAATCGGAGAATTTTCTAAGAATTACACCAATTAACGAACCGTTTCCCCAGTTGTGATCTAACAGTGGCCGTAAATTGCGCGTTCTCGGGGAAATTTATTACTTTTAACTTGGTTGTTGACTCTCTATATTAACCGCGTGTTTCAAATTTGCCACAACTATTCGAAAGATGTCCTTTTCGCAACGCCATGAAGCGCTAATCAAAGTCCTCTAGCTAAGATCACATCGTGAATTCTTGTATCTCTCAACTGACTGGCTCCAAGGCAAAGTGCTGTAAGAGATGGGAAATGGACAGTTTGGGAGTATTTAAGAGTGTGAATCGTTTGAGGGAGCAAAAAATGGTATAGCGAGTGTCTAAAAGACATTTTTACACTTCTTCACATCAGAACAGTTTCGGAGACGCGGTAAAAAGTCAATTGAGTGAATTGTGAGGCGCAAAACACTGGAGGAAGCTATTATTGGGCTTTTTTCCAGCTGGATCCAGGTGTGGCGACGCGCGGGGAGAAGATGAAAAAGATCTATGATGATTACCGTGCCATTGATCGAATTTAGCGGGCACACGGGATGCCTTTTCTGGGGAGGAAGCGAATAATTGTGCGGAACTGATTGGAATGGAGTTGAGCGAGAGCGATTAACGAAAATCATGCATCGCTTGAATTTGTCGGACAATTGGATGTACATAATAAGAAAAATGTTCGCTAGATAGTTAAGTGGATCAAAATGGGGAGTGAAATTACGGAAATTCCCGCCGCGCGGCTCCTGATGGAGGGATTACGCCTCGTGGCATTCGATAATCCAGAAATTATTTGAATATTCCACCTCCTGGCTAAATTTATATTCCTCCACAGTCGATAAATCGCGCTGCCACGGAAAAGAATCGATTAGAGGGGCAAACACGAACCAGTTTCACACTATTCAGCTGCGGGGCTAGAGCAAGAATGGAGAGGAACATGTCTCAGGAGGGACTGAGGCACATTCAATTGAGTTATCTCGTGACAGAGGTGACCAGAGACAAGTGGAGGAGAGACAGGAAGGTTCACTATATTGATGAGCCTCTCATGCAAATGAGCAACACTTTTGGGAGCCACTCTGAGATTCTGCCGGGGAGGCAAGAAGTTCGTTTATAGAATTTTTGAAGCCAACTCTGGCGAAAACATAAGCAAATAATTCACCAGTGCACGTGTTCGATGGCGAAGAAAGGAGGTGGTCAATGGCATTGCTCAATTGGATTTGCACCACGCCAGCAATTTATGTTGTCGCTCGAATTGCAGAAAATCCGCCTGCCAGAAGTCAATGGGAATATTTCATGAATATTCTCTCTCACTGTTGAAGTGGTCACAACACAAAGCGACAAAGATTGTGATCTTGGATGGTGTCACCATTGTGGAAACGCGCGTCCAGCTTTTTGTCAATCAAATGGACCAGAAAGATGTTAATCCGGTGGCTGAGATGATCAACATTGCGGCCCACGTTTTCTACCATCCAAATCTCCAGTCAGATCGCGAGAAGAAAAAGTGGGGAGACTTTGGAGATTACTCTGGAGGATGGGGATTAATCTCTTGTGTATACCAATTGTCACTCTGCGCTGCACAAGAAGCTGGAATGCAAAGTTCTGCCTCAAAATTAATTCCATATTTCCTCCAGCAAGAGTGGTCCAATTCTCCACACGTGAGGCGGAGAGAAAAGGAGAAGCAATTGACCATGGTTGGGTTTTATTGCGCTTCTTAGTCAGGCGAATTGTCGTGCCTCGTGCTCTGGCAGCCGCCTTCGCAAAATGATTTGTGGGCAAGGCAGCAGCAAACAATACAAGACGGCGTAGATGGAAATTATCATTTAGCATTCTCCAATTATTGTGGTGAAAATGAAGCACTCGCTCGGAGGGTAACACACTCTCCAATAACCCAAGATCCATGCAAGTCAATCACTCCAATTCGAATTGTCAATTATTTAATTTAGAGCCGCATCGTAAAATACTATTGCAATGTCGCGAAATTGCCGTGCAATCCTGTTGCTCGCCTTTCCATTCGAATGCGGGCTGGCAATTGAGTTGCTCTTGTGAAATTGACGATTTTTATGCGTATCCAATTTCTCTATGACCCATTAAACTGAATGTTGATCATTTAATTGATTCTTGGGTCATATTTCTGCACACAAGATTACTTTGCTGCGCTATCGCTCGATTGCTTATTAGCATCGAAAGCAAGACTGCGATTATAAAAGCTTCTCGGCCTAGGCAAAGCTCATATTCCGTAGTCAGAATTTGTCGTAAACTACATTATTAGAAGTCCACATAATCGTTTTGGCCAAATAGAGTTTCACAATTCAGAGATTGAATTTATTTGGCATTAATAATCATTTACAATAACCGTAAAATGACATAATTCCACCCAATTGAGCCACCTTGAACACGAGTGAGCTTTCTCTATCTCTGCAAATTGAATTCGCCTCTTAGCATTACTCCACTTAGCCGTGGTTTGCGAGCCCGCCGGAGGTCTCACTACAGATCAAGTCGCAATCAGTGGTTTTTGTGTGTCCCAGAGAGAGAATGGATTATTGTTAACCGCGCCCATAAATACTATTCAGCTGGGCAAATAAGCCAATCTCCCTCGCAAATCACAAGGTGAGCCACTCTCGTGGATCGCAGGACTTTTCCGCGTTTTCCGCGTGGCCAGTGGCGCGCGTGTAATCGATTTGGACGCGCGAAGAGACAATGGTTCGATGCACTCCATCGGCCAGAGGGCGAATCAATCACTGGCGGTGAGGGAAAATCAATTGACAGTGACACTGGGCGCGAAAATAGTGTCGCTTGACGCGAATAAATTCCTGCTAATGGTCTCGATGTCGGCAATCTCTGTGTGAGCGTGGGGTGATGGATTAATTAATTGCGGAGGATCAGTTGTGGCACCTGACTCTCACCATCATATTTTGCCACCTCTTGTCTCGCCAGTGCGCCCAGATAAATCACAAATCGTGACAGAGAGTCAAGTGCATCGGCAGTGATTTTAGCACGAAAGCGTCTGCAGATGAATTTCCCCACGCAATTCAATTGGATCCAATTTTCACGATCTCGAGTGATCCACTTTGGCGTGGTTGAGAATCGTGAGATTGCAATTAGAAAGTTTCGATTCACTCTCGAAACTGATCCGCGCGAAGGGAACTTTCAGTGTCGCTGATCCTCTATTTCACCATTGAAAGCGCCGAATTGCGGCGAAAGAGCGGCAAAGAGTGGACAAGCCATACTGTTTTCCAATTCTTTGGGCGACTATTAATCACTCAGCATGATCGCTGAAAATGATTTGGGGCGTCAATGGCAGCCACAGTGCATGGGAGTGATTTTTTCTTCCCTCTGCGGGATTAATGACTGTCTTAATTGAGAATAATGACCAGTTCTTTCTCAATCCTCTTGCAGATGGTTTTGTCACTTTGACGACGACAACTACGTGAATGTGCCGCGTCTCGTGCGCCTCCTGGACGAGTACTCAGCCTCCAAGGACTGGTACCTGGGCAAGCCCAGCATCTCGTCGCCACTCGAGATCATCATGGACAATGTGAGTATCCGATTAATTGCTGAATGCGCCGATCGGGCGATCTATTTCGAGGTGCGCAGCACCCAAAGACTGTTTAATTTGTCACTGTCTGCCGCGGTATCAGAGCCGTCGATCTCGAAAGGGAGTGAAATTCCACTGAGTTTACTGGGTGTTGCTGATGGAGGTAAATAGCAGTTGATCATGCTGAGCCATTGAGATGGCAAAATTGCAAATGAGAGAGATCCTGTGGCAAAAACTATCAATTTTTCATGATCCTCCTCTCCCGTGGATGTGCGGCGGTTATTTATGGTGCGGAAAAGAGATCGTCTCTATAATGACTGATCGTGCGATACTCACTAATTTTCGTTTCAGACAATTTGAAATTCAAATTCCGCGCAAGCACTCCGTAGAGATAAGCTTTCGGCACAGGCCTCGTAAATTCCTTTTTTTATCAGCACGTGAAATTTTTTGAAGAATAACCGTAAATATTTTCCTGGACTTTCAATTAGATTCTCTCTCTCTCTCTCCGTGTTTACATCCCATTTAAATCACTTGATCAAACGATGATCGCCACCTGAATGACCTGAGCTCATGCTATGCATTCATATTCAAATTTTAGCGTTTCCAAAGGAGCTCGATTTCTTGTGGTCTACCGAAGTGCCGGCGATGAATCGCCACGATCTGAGCGCGGGAGCTCCATAAATCGAGGTGAAAGGGGGGCAAATAGCAACTGTCAGTTGAATGTGGTGATTCCATCAATTTTCAAATGTATTCCATTTCATTCCAATAATAATAATAATCTATTGATCGCGCCTTCATAGTCAACCGAGGCGTTGGTGAGGCCCGAAACTCTTTAGGCGCGCTTCTCTCCTCTTCTCTCGCGTCTCCATCTTCCTCTCCGTAAGGAGGTTACCGAACCTTTTAGATGAGCTTCTTGCTTTTCAGTAATCTCTCCTCCTGATTCATATTCATTTCGCTTTATTCACATTTTTTTCTACCCGCGCCACTTCATCTTGATCGCCCAGACGCTGGGTTTTGTATAAGAAAGCCAAGGCAAGAGCGACTGCAATCATGCCCTCTCACTCCTGTTGCTGTGCCACATGGCGCAAAATGATGATAATAATGAAAATCGGTCTGGAGATGAGCGGCAAAAGACATGGTGAGCGCATAAATTATAACTTTTCTACTGCAACGAGTGCGGAAAGGGAACGATAATTAACTCAAAGATTCGGACGGACAAGTCGCGGACCCATAAATCGTCATTTTCAGCCGATTCACGTGCTTTTTCTCTCGTGAGGGCAATTGTCACGTCTTGTGCGCGCCAAATCCAATCATGCGGGACAGATTGCGAACGCTGCAGACCTGGAGGAATTAATGTGGTCAGCGCTGATCTCCCGCTGCGCCCAGACACCCAGAGTTATAGTCCACTGTCTCTTTGCTCACTTCTCGCCCTCCAAATTGATATTAATGCCGCGGCGATCGGGTTGCATAAAGTCAACATGCACAAAAGCACTCTCGAGTGACGATTTGTGTCCAATTCGCCACGCTATTAGCCCTTATCGATTAGTTGATGTGAGAGCTACTTGCCAAGCTGCACACCAACATTAGTTCTTGACCTGGAAATGGGAATAATCCTGGTAATTGACGAGCGGAGCAGGATTGAGTGGCCGATTCAATTGAAATTCAATATTCTGAGCACAGTGAATTTATCCTATCGGTGAGCAAACATTAACAAATCAATTTCAGCGTAAAGCGAAGTCGTTTTGTCACTGATCCTTGGGAAACAGTGTGTGATAAATTATCACGATTAAATACGAATTCTTGTAGATTTCTCATTGAATTTCACTTGCAAGTTTCTCAAATCCATCAGAAACTCGCTTTTCCTCAGGTGTGATAAAGACATTCTTCGGGAGAGGGTCTGGAATTTGTGATGTTTGATATTGAGAATGTCAAAATGCCAAAAATCCCACGCAGAATCAGGGAAGAGACGAAATACTTACACAGAAAATGCGTGGTAGTGTCTGCTTATCCCTTTGAGAAGGTTCTGCACAAATGTAAATTCAACATAAAAGTGTCTCTCTGCGTCACCTTTCACGAATATGTTGATATACAAAGTCATATTTTTCTTATCACCTTAAATTTGCCACTTAAAGTTTACAATTTGGTAGATATTGCAAAATTCATATCTTTTCTAAGCATTCACAGTCAACTTAAACAACTAAATCATTAATTACAAACTGTCCTCGTTAATTTTTCAAATTTAATTCTTCGTTGTCAGGTTTTTATATAAAGTTGACCTTAAATATAATCACATTTCTTTATCATTCTGACATCGGTTCATCGATAGAAATAAATATCGTAGAAACGCCCGAATCAGTTTGACAGTGGCGTAATTTATTCGTGATGTTCTCGGAAAGAGAGAAAATCATTAAATAAATTTCCATTAGAGACAATGAAGGCGATCCGCCACCGCCAAATGGAAAAAAATAGACGAGAAATAATTTAGCTGCGAATGAGAGATAAATTTTCTCCAGAGGACGCGAAAGACTGTGAAGTTTTGGGGAGAGATTTAGGAGGTTTCGTGGACATTCCCATTCAACATGATTCCTATGCAAATGCTGCGCGAGACATGTGAAGAATTCTGGGACTCACCTAATTGTCTGCCATTGGAAGATTGAGATCTCTTCGCGTGTTCGATCGATCTATGAGAATCTGTCCGGGGAGTGGCTAGTAATGTGAGACTTTTATTACGAGTTCACGTCAAATGACATGTAAAACAAGGCAAGAAAATGGCCAAGAACACGAGAAAAAGTGTCGGAGAAAATATTGGTGAAATATTCAACAGGGAGATTTGAGAGATTTGGCTTCTGAGTCGTTATAAATTTTCCATCACTTTCTTGATGCACTTTCTAACAGCATTTATGACTCTCTTTCTCCTCGACACTCATCCAGAAGTGAGAGAATCATCAGATTTGGCCCACAACTCCGACAAACCACGAGTGATCTTTGACTGGCACTTGCGGCCGGAGGTCTATTTTGGCGTAGTGCAAATGAATTGGTGACCGCAGTATCCTTCAAAATATTTACGCTCGAGAAATTGAGTGAAATTGCTCTGAGAGGAAATTAATGAGCCACATTTGTGGTGTCTTTTCGCATTGTGGCTTTCAATAGTCTCTCGTCGGCTCTTTAACGAGTGGACACTACAAAAGAGGGCGGAGCTTTCAAGGAGGCGGAGCTTCTTCTGATAATATTATCTGTAAAAATGCTTTGCTAAACTTCAATTTTTTCAAAATACTTTCCTCTTCGACAAATTTTTCCATTCCCATCAGAATGCAGATAAAGTTCTGGAGGAATTCCAGAAAGAGAAACTGGTTTTCACTAATACGCCATCAACAAAATAGATAGAATGGTGAAATTATTCAAAATGAGATTTCATTCACCAAAAATTACCCACAATAATCAATTTTCCCTCTTTCTCTCTCATTTTTCCCAGCAGAAATCGGCGCGGGACAAGAAGATCACCTTCTGGTTCGCGACGGGCGGTGCTGGATTCTGCCTCAGCCGCGCTCTGGCCCTCAAGATGCTGCCCATCGCCGGCGGCGGGAAATTCGTGGAGATCGGCGACAACATCCGCTTCCCAGACGACGTCACCATGGGCTTCATCGTGGAGCATCTGCTGCGGATTCCGCTCACAGTGGTGGATCAGTTTCACTCGCATCTGGAGCCGATGGAGTTCCTCAGGCCGGAAATGTTCCACGATCAAGTGAGTGCGCGCACACATTTCCCCCAATTTTCACATACTACAGCTTTTCTCTCGCCTCTTCTAGGTATCCTTCAGCTACTCCCGCATGAAGAATGAGTGGAATGTGGTGAAAATCGATGGATTCGACTTGAAGACGGATCCCAAGCGCTTCTACTCTCTCCATTGCCACCTCTTCCCCTACTTCAGCTTCTGCCCGAGGTGATGGGACGCGGAAAGGAGACACCATTCGCCGGGGAAACGCCATTCCTGGCCAGCCGTCGCGGCATCGTGAATCTTGAGCCAAAAATCCAAACATTCGCTGTATATAGGAAGCACACAATGCAAAGTGACTTGATTGTCTGTGATCTCTGAAGACGAGGGAGAGAAAAGAATGTGGAGAATGATAAAAAGAAACGTTGATACAGATGATAAAATGTAGATGTATTTCTTGTGAGAGAATTTAGTGGAGTTCTCATGTTGTCTAGTCTCTTGAAGAGAAATTTTTGCCACTACTTTGCATTATCACAGAGGAAATTGTGGCTTGTGAAGCTGTGATTTGCTTGTGAATTGCAAAAGTAGGTTGAAGAAATTCTGTACATTTTGTTAATACATTACATGGATTACATGTGTAAAAATGCATATTAAATATTATGAAATTAGAGAGTGTGTATCATTTCGAGGCGACGGTGTGTGATAAAATCAGTTAGAGTCAAATTCTGGCGGGAAATGTTGTTATGCTGCGCCTGAAAGTAGGCAAAACTGTATTTCCAATCACCATCATGAGCACCCTCTGACGGACAAGAGTTTAATATGAGTAAAAATATATGTGTAGTAAACTCAAAGAAATTATGCCAAAAACACAATAAAATCGAGAAATCTCATGCTTCATTCCATATTCCTAGCTTTCGTGTATATAATCCAAGACAAAGTGCAATATTTTCATCCTTCATCACTGCAAATTTGGTGAGTTTCGTTTGTTTACATGGAGAATCGTTGATGTAATTTAATATGAATTCCAGCAACCGCGTCTTTTATCATCACTGAGTTGTGAGACGTCATAGCTGTAAAAGAAAGAGGAAGGCATTACGCCAGCAGTGCATCTTTCCTGCCTCCTTTTCCCTGGTTGGCAATGGTTATCGATCATGAAATTAGTAGTTTCCAGTAGAAGAGTGTGTAAATAAGTGATTGAAGTTGGAAAAGTGAGTGAATTCGAGCTGGAACATGTCTGTGCACGAGTTGTACGTGAAGGTACGTCCGGATGCCATACAAACGCCCTCAGGGGCTTTCTAGGTCACTCTCTGACCCTATTTCGCGAGTATTTCGCGGGTATTCCGCGAGCGTTCCGCCCCAGGCGAAGGAGGTCCCCTGTGATGTGGCCAGCGCATCAGACGCTTGAGTCACCGCCTTATCAGGCCGTGATAAGATGCCAATCACTCACCACGCTGTCTCTCTTTCCAGGGCGCACGTGTCTGGGTGCCGAATGCGGGCAGCGTGTGGGAAGGAGCGACGCTCCTGCAGGACTTCCAGCGTGGCAACGATCGTGTGCATCTGAAGGCGGACGCGGACAGTGCAAAGCGCGAGGTGGTCATAAAGAGCGAGAAGGATCTGCCGCCGCTCAGGAATCCGCCCATCCTCATTGGCCAGAATGATCTCACGGCGCTGTCTTACCTGCACGAGCCGGACGTGCTGTACAACCTGCAGGTGCGCTTCTGCGAGCGCCAGAAGATCTACACGTACTGCGGCATCATCCTCGTGGCCATCAATCCGTACCAGGAGATGGCCCTGTACGGTCAGGACCTCATCCAGGCGTACCGCGGCCACTCCATGGGCGAGCTGGAGCCCCACATCTTTGCCATCGGCGAGGAGGCCTATACGAAATTGGAACGTGAGAACTGCAATCAGAGCATAATAGGTACTTTGAGTCTCTCTCCCACTCTTGCCATTGTCTCACACTTCTCCCTCTCCAGTCAGCGGCGAATCTGGCGCGGGAAAGACTGTGTCCGCGAAGTACGCCATGCGGTACTTCGCCGCCGTGGGCGGAAGCGCCTCCGAGACGCAGGTGGAGCGCAAGGTCCTCGCCAGCAGCCCAATCATGGAGGTAATTGAGTCCCAAGAAGGCTTTTCACGCTACACTGCAAGCAAATGCGGCATGACATGAGAAACGGAGCCGACTTTTTAAAGTGAGGGTGAAAGGCTTTCAATGATATTTGCAATGAAATGTCATAAAGCGCCTTTTAATCACGCTTTTAATATTAAAAGGCACATGATTTTTAAATGGACTGCATCACAAATCTGTCTTTTCGCTTTCGTTTGTGAAGTGAAGAGGAACTTTGAGGCCGTAGTTTTGCTTTCCGTGGCTTAGTATCGAAAGTGAAGTTGCCACAAATAGTTAACAATGCTCCTATCGGTATAGTTTGCGCCTTGAGTGAGGAAACAAACATGTTTTCTTTGCACTCTGAGTGACATTATCTTATCAGTGTGTATCTGAAGAAGTAATGGGCTTTCTTCTCACAACTTTTTAGGCCATTGGAAATGCCAAAACAACGAGGAATGATAATAGCTCGCGATTCGGGAAGTTCACAAAGCTCCTCTTCACCAACGACATCAGCGGCAGGTCCTTGATGGGCGCCACGATGCAGACGTATTTGCTGGAGAAGTCGAGAGTGGTTTTCCAGGCTGCCGGCGAAAGGAATTACCACATATTCTACCAATTGTGCGCCGCGCGGGAGAATTGGCCAGAACTGATGCTGGGTGAGTGCAAAAGAAGGATTGCAGAAGAAGTGCAAAACATTGAGGATCTTTTCCTTTTGCAGACCATCAGAACAAGTTTAATTACCTCAATCAAGGGCGTTCGCCAGATATCGCCAAAGTGTCGGATTTCAGTCAGTTTTCCGAGACTGTCACTGCTCTACACACTCTCGGTTTCCGGAAGGACGAAGTGACGGACGTGATGAAGATTCTGGCGGGAATTCTGCATCTGGGCAACGTGAAGTTCCTGCCCAAGTGCTTACCAGACAGCCAAGAGGTGGACAACGAAGCGTGCGTCATTGCCGAAGATGATCTCCACTTGGGAATTCTCAGTGAACTTCTGCAGCTGAATTATATGCAACTACGAAAGTGGCTGACGACCAGGCAAATTGAGTCGGTGAACGAATTCGTGGAGATTCCAATGCATCAAGAGGCGGCGGAAGCGGCGCGAGATGCACTGGCGAAGCACATCTATGCCAAGCTCTTCCTGTACATTGTGGAAGGAATCAACAGGAGTCTGGTGAGTGAGGCGAAAGAGCACAGCTTCATCGGTGTGCTGGACATTTACGGTTTCGAGACGTTCGATGTGAACTCCTTCGAGCAATTCTGCATCAATTATGCCAACGAGAAACTGCAGCAGCAGTTCAATCAACACGTGTTCAAGTTGGAACAAGAGGAGTATCTCAAGGAGGGGATCACGTGGGAGATGATTGACTTCTATGACAATCAGCCGTGCATTGATCTGATCGAGACGAAGCTCGGCGTGCTGGATTTGCTGGACGAGGAGTGTAGAATGCCACGTGGCAGTGACGAATCGTGGGTGGGGAAGCTGATTGAGAAGTGCGCCAAGTTCAAGCACTTCGAGAAGACACGCTTCGGATGCACGGGATTCGTGGTGAAGCACTTCTCGGATCGCGTGGAGTACACAGCTCATGGATTCCTGGAGAAGAATCGTGACACGGTGTCCAAGCAGCTGGTGAATGTGTTCTGGGAGTCGAAGATGGACATTTGCAATCAAGTGATGAATCAGGATGACAGCTCAGGGGAAAAGGAACAGTCGCGAGAGGGAACGAGAGTCGTTGTCAGCACCTATCAAGTGCCAGTGAGTATTTGTATTATCTAAATCCCACACTTGACATAATTCTAATCAAATTTCCCATGGATTTCTCACAGCAAACAAGAAGCAACAGGAAGAAAGTTAGTTAAATAGCCACATTTTCTATTGTGTAGTTTGAATTCTGGGCAATTCTGGGTGAAAAGTCACTAACACTTGAACTTTTCTCTGATTTTCTCTAACAGCATGATGTTTAATTTGTGGAAGAGGAAATTCAATGACTGACCAGTACTTTTGTGTGTCTTTCAGCTTACATCTACAAAGCAGCACAAGCAGACAGTCGGTTCGCAGTTCCGGGAGAGTTTGGGGCTCCTTATCAAGACTCTTCATTCCACGACTCCGCATTACGTGCGATGCATTAAAGTGAGTGAGATCTTCACACTTCTCTAGTTATACTTAAAACACTCTATCTTTTTCCTTTGTCCTGGCAGCCTAATGAGGACAAGAAGGCCTTCAATTGGGAACCGACGAAGATCGTGCAGCAGCTTCGTGCATGCGGTGTTCTCGAGACTGTTCGCATCTCCGCGGCTGGTTTTCCCTCGCGCTGGACGTACGAGGACTTCTACGCTCGTTATCGTTTGTTGTGCAAGCGAGCGGCTCTCTTGGACTGGAACATCAACGCCACGTGCAAGAATATCGTGAGGACGTGGATTGAGGATCAGGACCAGTACAGATATGGGAACACGCAGATCTTCTTCCGGGCTGGACAGGTGGCTTTCCTCGAGCAGACGCGTTCGGATGTGCGCAAGAAGTACATTATCAGAGTGCAGGCATTCGTACGACGCTTCATCTATCGCAAGCGCTACTTGAAGATCAAGAGATCAGTGCTGCTTATCCAGACGTACGGACGCGGACATTTGGCACGCGTCAAGGCGCAAAGTATTCGACGGGAGAGGGCAGCCATCATGCTGCAGCGAAACATCCGCGGATGGATGTGCAGGAAGAGATTTTCGCGCATACGATGCGTGGCTCTGGGCTTGCAGAAGTACGCCAGAGGATTCCTGGCGAGACAGCGCTTCAGAGTCATGCTGGATGACTTCAAGGCTACCGAAGTGCAGCGATATTGCCGTGGTTTCCTGGCCAGGTCGGCGTTTGAGCGCAAGAAGCGGCAAATTGTACTGTGTCAGGCGATGGTGAGGAGATTCCTGGCCAGGCGGCTATACAAGAAGATGAAGGCGGAGGCGAGGACAGTGGCGCACATTCAGATGCGCTACAAGGGATTGGAAAACAAGATCATCTCGATGCAACAGCGAATGGATGAGATTAATAAGGAAAATGTGGCGCTGAAGACGAAGGTACAAGAGATTCCGGAGTTGAAGCAGCGCGTGGAGGTGGTGAAGGGAATGGAGGGTGAGATTAAGGCGTTGAGAGCGGCTCTGGCGGAACGTGAGAGTGTGTTGGTGGAAACAAAGAGGCAGCTGGACCAGGAGCGCGACGAGAAGATGGCAATTGTGGAGGAGAAAGCCGCCGAGGAGGCGAAGTGGACTGAACAGAAGACGGCTTGGCGGCGGGAGAATGAGGAGTTGAAACAGCAAGTGGAGGAGATGGTGGAGATGGCCAGGCGAGATGATTCCTCGATGAACAGGGCGCGTCTGCTGTCTGAGGTGGATACGAATGAGGTGCATCAGGCTTATCAGAAGACGGTGAAGGACAAAGACACGCTCGAGGCTGAGAATTCTATGCTGAAGGAGGAGATCAATCGACTGCAGCGCCTGGTGGAGAATCCCAACTTCTACCGCTCGCATTCACGCTCCGTGAGCAATGCCTCGAGTCAGAATGAGGAGGACTTTGGCTACATGTCCGGCAGGAATACGCTGGAGATCAAGAAGGACTGCACATCGACGCCGAAGCGAGATGTGCGCCACATTGAGACAGCCACGACGCCGACTGCCGGGAACTCGCCAACGGCGCTCATTCTGCGGCTCAGGAAGTTGCTGGAGGAGGAGAAGCGCAAGGGAGAAGTGCTGCAGCAGCGCGTTGCGAGGATTGAGAGCAAGAGCAGCAAGGTGCCAGCCACCACGGAGGATTCCATCAAAATATCCGAGCTGGAGATGGAGAATGACAAACTGCGGCAGGATTATCAGCTGCTGCGGAATAGCATCGAGCGCGGCGTGGAGGAAAAGGAGCTGGAGGCGCACTATGAGGCGCTACAGGAGGAGCTGAAGCGTCGACGGGACGAGTGTGTGCAGCTGAAGGTGGTTCTGGCGGAGCAGAGTCAGTCGCTGCGGAGTCTCGGCGGCACGACGATGAAGAATGGGTCGGAGCGAGTGCATGATGGGAGTGAGCTGCTGGAGGCGTTCCAGGCGCAGAAGCTGGTCAATCGCCAGCTGGAGTCTGAGCTGACGGCGCTCACGGAGGAGAATAACGCGAAGTTGGCAGAGTTGAGTCACCAGAATGACGATCTGCGCAGCGAGAAGAACAAGCTGCAGGCGATTGTGGAGGAAGCGCTGGCCGGCGGCGATGCCACGAATGCGCAGACCGTGGTGTTCCTGAAGCATGAGCTGGAGAAGACTGTGGTGGATTATGTGGAGCAGAAGGAGATAGTGAATGAGCTGAGCAAGAAGGTGGCGGAATTGATGAGGATCAACGGGATTCTGAGTGCGAGGCTGAGAGAGAATGATATCAGCGATGCTCTGGATCTGGCCGAGGAGACGACGGAGAATCTGGTGTCGGTCCGCCGGAAGGCCCAAGTGTACCAGGGCATCTTCAAGTATCGTCCGGAGGACGAGGGGAAGATCATTCAGCGGCTCACGACGGATCTAAAGCCACGAACAGCCATCACTTTGCTGCCCGGCTTGCCGGCCTACATCATCCTCATGTGCATCCGGTACACGGATCTGATGAACAAGGATCAGCACGTGCGCACGCTCCTGGCGAACACGGTGCTAACGGTGAAGAAGCTGTATCGCAATCCGAATCCCACAGACACGCGCGTGCTGTGGCTCATGAACATGCTGAAGCTGTTCAATCTGCTGAAGCAGTACGGTGGCATCGATGAGTACATCCGGCTGAACACGGACACGCAGAATCAGCAGCAGCTGAAGAACTTCGACCTTTCGGAGTACCGTAAGGTGATCTATGAGACGATCATCGTCATCTACCAGCACTTGGTGCGGCAAATCCAGGAGCTGATGAAGCCTTCCGTTGTGCCGGCGATTCTGCTACACGACGAAATGGCGCTGGGCAAGAGCAATCGCTCGCGCACTGCTTCACTGGAGCTGGCGTCGCCGCCTGGCCAGGGTGGCAAGTCGTTCGTGGAGCAGCTGGTGGAGCAACTGGAGCAGTACTACAAGCAGTTCGACTTCTTCGGTCTGGAGCTGTGCTATATCGAGCAGGTGCTGAAGCAGCTGATGTACTACATCAACGCCGTGGCGCTCAACAATCTGATGCTGCGCCAGGAGCTGTGCACCTGGGCGACGGGCATGAAGATGCGCTACAACGTGGGCTGCATCGAGACGTGGGTGCGCGAGAAGAAGCTACCCAAGGACATTCTGGCGCCACTGAAGCCACTCATCCAAGTCACGGCGCTGCTGCAGAGTCGCAAGTTCGAGGAGGACGTGGAGACGATTTACGATCTCTGTCCCTGTCTCACGTCCGCGCAGGTGCTGAAGATCATCAAGTCCTACACGGCGGACGATCTGGAGAATCCCGTGACGCCCGTGTTCATTGAGAAACTAACCGAGAAGCTGCACAAAAGGGAGAAGAATTCTGTGAGTTTCAATTTAATCAAAAGACACTCTTTCACATTTTTCATCCCACTTTTCTTTCCTTCTTCAGGAAGAGAACACGACATTCACAACGGACGAGAATTTCATCTATCCACTCGTTGTGGGCTACATTCATAGCGACATCAGGCTGGAAGAGATTGAATTGCCTCCCATTCTCAACATGGACAGTCTACTGACCAAGATATAATGTGTCGCAAAGGTTAATTTAGATATTTCCCAATTTTGAAACACGGGCACTTTCTTTGCTGACAAAACAGTATACAAAACTAAAAGAATAATGTACTTAGGAACCTAAACATTCCAATCATGCTTTAAAAGAGTGTCTGAATAAGCCTGAACTTTCCTTAAATATATTCAATAATCTATTGTGTAGTTGGAGTTGAGATTGATGTACAATACAAGATATTGCAGTTGGCAATTAAGTTGGGAAAAGGCGAAATGATAGAGAATATATTGTATTTACCTTTTAGAAGAAGTATGCAACTTGAACTGTGTTACAATTGTGAGAAAATATTATAATGAAAAAGTGTTGAGGGAAGAGTATTTAGCATATTTAGCGGAAGACAAAGTATTTATTCACCTGTGTTAGAGAATTTAGAGGAATGAAGAAAAAGAGCGTCACGCTATATTTACATTTACACCACGCCGCATTTAGAGGCGCCTTAGAGAGAAAGAAGAAAAAATACTGTTATATCGTTATCCTGCAAGGATAGGAAATGTAGAAAATATATTTATTGCTCGTTGAAGTGAATGATTTTCCTTCAATTTAATTTAACGAATTACGAATTTTTTTTGTATATCATTAAGAAATGATTCTTCCTTATGTTAGTGCAATGAAAGACCAGCAAAAAGCATTCACAATAAACACATATTTAATATTCTTCACTCTTTTTTCTTTTCTTTGTATTTATTCTGCCTTTTATAAAACACACGATTATTTACAGTAGAAAAATTAAAACACTTGTCTCTCCTCAATGATCACATTTGGTTCAGAGAAGGCGTCTTCATCTGGCGCTTTTCCAGGACAGAAGAGTCTTCGAGGGAGGCTGAGAAAATGAGCTCTCAGTCCTTCTTCAGCGATTCTCGGCTGTTTTGTCGGCTCTTGCGCAGCTGTTCTCGCAGCTGAGCCGTCTTCAGCTTTGCCATGAGTTGAGTTGATTGATACAACCAACTTCCCTGCAACACGAGAAAAACACATTGCTCTCAATTAATCAATGCCAATGTTTTCCACATTGAAAACCAGGCAAAAGTATAGTTTTCAAGTGCCGCCTCTTGAGCGCGAGAACTGGTTTTTGGAGTTTGGACAGTTTAGGTAAACTCAATCTGTGCTCCAGTTTTATCACAGCGGCGCCCAATGAAGCACTCGCGGCTTATCAGGCTGTAATTGATGGGGTGTGATTTGGAGAGCACTCACCACCATGAGCATGATGTTGAGGAGGATTGGCACGGAGAAGACCAGGGAGATGAAGAGTCCCTGGCTGTCGAAGTACTGCTGCCGCGAGAACGTGCGCCAGTTGTGGGCGGCGAACTCGTTGATGCTCTCCGAGAAGTACACCAGCAGGATGAGCAGCATGAAGAGGACGACCTGGAAGTTGCCGTGATTCCGCGTCAGCAGTGTGGCCAGCGTCACGAGGACGTGGAATGAGATGAGGGCCATCAGCAGTGGATCGTACCAGTCAATCTGCCCAGAGAGAGAGAAGAATTAGCCAGGCGATTGCGAGCCCTTGAAACCCATCTCATCATACTCACGCTCTTCAGGAATCCCAGAATATCACGGATCTCGTGCACTTCTATGTAGTTCTCGTACACCATTTTGCGCCACACACCGCCAGTGGCTCGCCAAAGGACAAATTTGCCACGCAACACTCCCAATTTCAGTGGAAATCCTCTGTTTTTGCACCAGCCGATAAATACTATCACTGCGCGAGGCCTTGAGGTTCTTGACATTCGGCCTGTGCGCGATAGTTCGAAAGCCTATTCGAATGGAGTGAAGTTGGCAATCGACGAGCATTTAAAATCGCCACCAAAACAGCATGCGTTAACCCTTCCAGCAATGAAAGGGAAAGAGAAAAAAAAAGCCACGATTTCTCTCGATACTTTATTGATACCCCTACAGTACTATGCTACACAAAGAAAATAAAGATGATTCCTTTTGAGTGTGCACATCGGACAGTATCATTTCTGACAACTCAAAACATGCTCATCCGTGAATTTCTCAAACTTTTATAAAAAGTCATAGAAAATGAAATAAAATCCGCAAAAATCCTCTCAACAATTCCGCCTATTTGTGTTTTTTTTTTCTCGTCAATAATTACATACTGTAAAATTTTTAGAGCTCTTATCATTTGCAATGCAATCTCAATCTTTCGTGGGATGAAGCAAAGAAAAAAAATCATCTCTACTCGACAATTGAATCCATCACGAATTTGTCTGTTTTCATCTTGTGTGTTAATTGAATATGGATTTTTTGTGTTTTGTATGGTGACAAAATACACGCATTTTGGATTATATTTACAATCGTAAGCTTAGGGCTTCCGCGATGGCATGAGCAGCACCGAAGCGGTGACAGAGTCCGGAAAGAGTGTGTGGTAGTTGAGAAGTGGAACGTAGGCAGCAGTTATGGCTCGTCCGGCAAACCAGCGTCCGTGAAGTGAATTCACGGCCAACACGGCCGTCGCGATGCTCGGACATTTCACATAAACATTCCCCTGCGGCGACAGCTTGTCCACGAACACGTGATAGCAGCCGCCGTGCTTGTTCGCCTCCTCAATCACGTCGTCCTGAATCTCCTGCGACCACGCGGGGTTGGTCTCTGTCGCTGGATCGAACATGTTCGACAGCATGAAGCACTGCGTCGCGATGGGCGGCGTCGCTTGCGTGGGCTGACTGGGCGGCTGCTGCGGCGCCGTGGCCAGCAGAGCGTTGGCCGCCGCCTGAGGCACTGCCAGCCCAGCGCCTTCGGCCAACTTGAACATCAGCTGCAATCTCCCCGTGGCGCCCAAGTCGATGCCACTGCGATCCATCTCGTCCGTGTCCAGCGACGTGTTGGTGTTCATGTCCAGACGCTCCGTCACATTGCCCACCTTCATCGGCCTGCCCGCCAGCTCGAAGCCGTTCAGCTGCTCTAGCGCCTTCTTCGCATCCTCAGCATTGTGGAAAGTAATGAAGCCGTAGCCCTTCGAGCGCCCCGTCTCGTTGTCCATGATCAGCTGGATGGAGTCGATCTTGCCGAAGGGCTCGAAGATGCCGCGCAGCATGTCCTCTGTGATGTTGAAATGCAGTGAGCCTACGTACAGACGCATCGGCCCCGAAGGATTCTTCGGCATTATCGCTGGCACAGCGTTGGCCAGCCTGTTCTTCTCAGCCTGCGTGTGCTGGACACTGATGGGAATGCCCAGCAGCTTCTGTCCCGACAGTCCGAGTGCCTGCAAAAAAGAAAGAGATACTCTCAGTTCATAAATCAAAAAGAAAATGTAATTTTGTTCAGAGAAATCCTCCACTTTCCTTTTCAATATCTCACAAGGAAAGTGAAAACACAGATAATTCTCTCCCAAAAATTAATCTTGCATACGTGTTCCCCAAATCAAAACAACTGAACCATCTCAATTCGGTCTACATAGTATGCTAAAGAAAGTGAGGTGGAAAGAGAAAAGCTAATGCAATTACTCACAAGTGGCACAGATTCCGGATCTCTGAATTCGATATAAGCAATTCCTTTGAATCGCTTTGTTTTGTTGCACGTTATCAGTCGCACATCGCGCACTTTTCCCACACTCGAGAAGAACTCCTCCAAGTCTCTGGCGCGAATTCGTTGTGACAATTGCATGCAGAACACTGTTCTGGCGTCGCGCTCTTCCGGACTCAAGTCTTCAGGCGGAGAATGGTGTCCCAAGCCATTCGGCGGAGTTCTTCCGCGTCGAAAGTGTCTCGGTGAAGGTGACCTTCGCCTGGAAAGGTAGAGAAAAGAAAAATAATAGAGACATTGCAATTCTGCTAGCTTGTGACAAAGTGACTCACCTTCTGATTGGGGATCGACTGCGGCGCCTTTCTCTGGATGCTGGCTGGCGCTTCTCGCGCGGCGAGCGGCTGCGCTTACGTCCCTTGGAACGCGAACGTCGACGTTCGCCGCGGGATTTGCTCCTTCGACGGCGCTCCTTGTCCTTAGACCGGCTCGTGCGCTTCTCCTTCGAGCGACTCCGACGACGCTTATCGCGCGCGCGATTTCCCCCCTCGCGCGCTTTCCTACTCGACCGATCCTTCTCCACAGAACGATCTCGACTCCTCGAACGGCTCCTGAAGGAAGAATAAGACACAAGCTCAGTTACCTAAACTCTTACACTCAATTCTTCTGGTATTAAAACTCACCTGCCTCGCTTGTTCTCTTTGTCCTTTCCATTCTGTACTCTACTTGGCGATGGATTCACGTCATCCTATTTTACACAATGAGTCATTTCATTATTCGAATCGATTTTGTGATGGATTGGATTTTTTTTGTCAAAGTTTTTTTTTCAGAGACAGACAGAGAGAGACATTTTGGATGTAGAGCATTTTGAGGTTTACACACAGCCAGCAACGTCGTGTCAGAGTCGAGATTTATCGCGCCAAATCACAATACAGCAGGAATAAAATAAAAAATTTTGCAAATTAATAAGTATTCTTCTTAGGTAGTTTGTAGAAATATTTTTTCTTCATATAGTGTAAGAATGCGAGATAAAATAAAATGGTGTTAAAAAATATCCTAGTCTATTTTATTACAAATCCAAAGGATATTGCACTAATAAATAAACACTTTACCATAAACCATATCTTTCATGGTTAATAGCTTTGCACTCAGAAATACGATGAATATTGGCGAAGAGAAGCATTTTGAGAACTTCTTCGTCGTGGGATTTAAGTACAATAATTACATCAAATATTCACAGTCTTTGATCTTCTCAAAATACTTCTTCTCCTCTCAATTGACCTGAAACGGGAAGACATTTGATTTTACAAACAATCAAATTTAGTAATTCAGACTCTTTCGTCATCTTCTTCAAATACAGAAAAAACGAAAACTCGTCATTCTTTCTCACAATGTTAAATCATATGTCTCTTCTTCATTTCACGTCTGGCTTTGTTCTTATAATCCGGCTCATCAGTTTTGCAATTGATCGGGAAACAACCTCAATTTGTAAAATGATTCATTTTTTTGGATTCTTATAATGTTTCATTCTGGGATTTACCAAACTTACCAGATCACAATCCAGCCAAATTAGGACCTCATTTGTTCAATCAACGTACATTGAGAATTATGTGAGTTTTAAATGGAACTTCTGCAAAAGATACACCCGTAAGAAAGTTGACCAGAAAAAATCATGATTTCGTTTATGAATTTCACAAATTCAAATAACAAAACTCAAAGAGAAACTATAAGAAAATATTTTTTCTTTTTTATATAGTAACAAATAGAGAAATTATTGTATGCAAGTAATTGACACTTTAACACAGAGAGTGAAATAAAATGTTAGATTTTGAATGAATAAAGAGAAAACATAAGAATTTACTTTGGTTTCTCAATCATGTTTCCTTCTGGTGCATCGCCGGCAAATTTTAATCCGTGTCTCATCTACAAAAGAGGTTAGAAAAGCATTTTTTTTTCTCTTTATATCTCGCTTTAACCCGTGATGAGGATGACTCTTTTGCTGATCCGTTTCAACACATCTCACACCCCTGACCAACTCATCAACACCAAATAGTCACAAGCTAGTAAGTTTGTGTGGGCATCTTGAACCGCGTCAATCATGTTGTGGAAGCCCTGGTCAAATATGGATATTTAAGTCAACGATTTTTCCTTCTTCTCATTAAATGTAAAGAGCATTTTTTGGAAAGTTTTCTTAGCGTTCAAAGCAAATTCTCGTTTTCTCAAGCACCTGAGAACATAAACTGATAATGTCACACTATTGATTTTGCAATAAAACCTGCTTTGCTAGGTAAACTCTATATTTTTGTGGTAAACATTCATATTCCGAAGCTTGAATACACAGGAGGAAAACAATATTTTGTGACAAAAGTATTAATTGGTGGAAACCTTAAGAAATTATCGCCTTTTCCTGTGTATCTTCAGGTGTTTCTAAGAATCACAAGCAAATAAATCTGACTGCAATAACACTGATATGAATTCTGGGAAATTCTCCCATTACTTTACTCTCTACTATCATCATAACGTTTATGAAACACCACTAAACGTTCAAGAATTCATTACTTTATCGTTATCATCACTCAAGGACAGAGAAATTAAGCAATCTTCAGGCCATCTTAAGGCAATGAGAGAAAGATCAGGTGCTTGAGGAGACAAGACTCTTGAGTATCTCCAATGACAAGGAAAACAAAGGGTTAAAAATGCCTGTCCGGAAGACAATCAATCGTCCGGACGTGCAATTCTAACACAATTCTCGAGTAGTAGTATTTGAAATAGCATTTTTTCTACTTTCCGTGAGATCTCTTGACTCTCTTTACTTGTTGTGAACGAGTATATTCAATTTCTTTAAGTAAGTTAAGTACCTCAAGGCTGACCATTCGATGAATGAGAGACAATCAGTAGCTGGGTAATCAACATTTTTGTCTATAAATGTAGAGAACGAGGACATTTGAGTGCAAATTTCATTATAATAATCATTTGTAAGAAATAAAACTAGTCTTTTTCAGAGAGAGAAAATCTTTTTGTTAAAGGAAATAATATCAAATTATAACTATTTTAGCTAAAGCTTAACACTACATATATTCTCTTACGCACTGCACTCGTGGACTTCTGTGGCGCTTTCTTTGTCCATACCCATTTCTGGGGGGCGCGCGATGAAGGAGAGGAGAATGCACAGAGAGTCACACGAGATCGCAATGCTTGGCATGTGGCGTCAAAGGAAAAAGTTACTCACGTCTTTTCGATATGGAGCTTCCAACATGGCTTCGACGTCCAAATCTTCGGCCATTTTGCGACCTGCAATTTTCACCCAAATTATCCACTCGTCCTTCACGTTCTCCAGCAATTCTTCTATCGCACAAGATGCCCCCGGCAGTGCTGTACACTACCTGCCTGTTTTGGGAAACTTCTGCAAGCTCTTTCACCGATAAATCCTGTATTTTCTCCTCTGCTCGTGCAGACACTGCTTGTCTTCTAGAATGCCACAAAAAACTCCCGATGACAGTGCGAGTTCGAAAACATGGCGCCTGTCGACGAGCTTTAGACGACAATTTTTATTTACGATCTGTCGGGTATTTTTATTCTGCGATTTCACTGCATTTTTCCCCATTCAAAGTGATGAGATGAGTTTATTGAAGTGCAAACAGTATCAGGGAATCCTCAGAAGACTGTTCATCGGGGCGACATGCACAGAGTGAGTAAAATATGGCCAAAAACAATGTCTTAAGAGAATCAGAAGAGTCATAAATACACTGTGAAAAATTGGTGTACAGATGATTTTAAAGTTTGGTAAATTATGGTAAATTCTTTTCGGACAAATATTAATTACTATATTGCCATTGAAATTTAGATTAATATATTTCACGCACCTGAATGTAAATATTTATAATCAATTGATTAACAAGATTCATAATTTGAATAAAACGAAGATGAGGCATGAAAATAAGAAAACTTTAATCCCTTTAACTGAACTCTTTTTCAGAAATTACGACTTAGTAGTGGTTGGCGGTGGAATTGTTGGAGCTGCATCTGCCAGAGAGATGTTACAAAGACATCCTACTTTAAAAGTCTGCCTAGTTGAGAAGGAGAAACAGCTTGCCTTGCACCAGAGTGGGCACAATAGTGGCGTTATACATGCCGGCATTTACTACAAACCCGGAACCTTGAAGGCTAAATTATGTGTCGAGGGGCTCAAGATGTCCTATAATTACTTCGACAAACGAGGAATACCGTACAAAAAGTGTGGAAAATTGATTGTGGCGACCGACGAAAGTCAACTAGGAAGACTCAATGACTTATACAAGAGAGGACTGGCAAATGAAGTGCCAGATCTACAGATGGTGGACGCGGAGAAAATAGCAGAGATAGAGCCGTATTGCCTCGGAGTCAAGGCTATTTGGTCTCCTCACACGGGAATCGTGGACTGGCAATATGTTACTCAGTGTTATGCTCAGGATGTTGAAAATTTCGGAGGAACCATTATTACAAACTACAAAGTTAACAAGATTGGAGAGACAGAAGATAATTCAGAGTATCCTATTAGCGTTTACAGTACGTCTGGGAAAAGGATCCTGACTAAATATGTCCTCACTTGTGGTGGTCTTCACTCGGACAAGTTGGCTGAGATGACAGGCTGTTCAAGATCTCCGAGAATCGTGCCCTTCCGCGGAGAATATCTCCTCTTGCGTTCTGACCTGAATTTCATGGTACGCGGAAACATTTATCCTGTGCCCGATCCCCGACTTCCCTTTCTGGGCGTTCACTTTACGCCCCGAATGGATGGAAGTGTGTGGCTGGGACCCAATGCAGTACTGGCATTTAAGCGAGAGGGCTACACTTGGGGCGACTTCAACCCTATCGATTTGATGGACGCTGTGGGATATTCGGGATTCCGGAAACTCGCCGTGAAATATATGGGAAGCGGCTTGCAAGAAATGTGGCGCTCATATTGGATTCGGAGTCAAGTGCGCGAGCTGCAGAAATTTATCCCAGAAATTACTGAATTTGACGTGGAGCGAGGTCCAGCTGGTGTGAGAGCGCAAGCCCTAGATCCGGAGGGAAATCTTGTGGACGACTTTGTATTTGATCGCGGGAGCGGAAAGAGCGCCGTCTCCCAAAGAGTTCTGCACTGCCGCAACGCTCCTTCACCCGGAGCAACGAGTTCCTTAGCTATTGGCAAGGTCATAGCCCAGAAACTCACTGATGAGTTCAAGTTTTAAAATTATATTATACAATTGGAGACTTTGGTGATGTTGTAAAAGATGGTAACTTTTACCACGAGTGATAAATTGAATTATATTGCAAACCCCTTGGCGTTTCTTTTTCGATATTCACCAGCGCCACGAGTGAACAAATAGACACAACGCGGTCGCGCTTAAATTTCAGATATTCAAGCACTGTGAAGCTGTTATGAATTGCGAAAGACAATAAGCAGTGCAAAAAATTGGCATGACTTTGAAGAGCTCACGCTGCGACAGTTGAGGCTACTTTTAAGAAACTACCTCATCGGCCGATATTGTTTTTGTTGAGCTAACCAGGTGGTGGATCCGCGCGAATTCCGCTAAAAATACCAGTGAATTTCCTCTAAGTTCAAAGTTATCAGGGGGCTTGCAACTTAGGAATAAGGCCACAATTGCAAATGGAATAATTCAAGAAAAATTGTAGCAATGATATGGAAATTCACGTTCTTATTTCAAAAAGAATGGCACACTAAACAACCAAACATGGCACGAAATCGCCAATATCTCAGATATTGATGCAAACCCTCGACATTCTCACTTTCTAATGAACATGATCGAAGTTCAAGTGAGCCACTTGAGATATGCATGAATTTCAATAGGAATTACACATCAAGGGCTCGTCGTTGTTTCGCGGGAAAACGTTTAATCACACGTGCTGCATCGCAGAAGTGATCCAATAAAATGCGGTGACTCTGAAAATGAGTGCTCAGTGATATCGCAACACACTAAATTTAGAATCTGTGATTCAGCAATCCAATTGTGATATTGAATAAGCATAGTTGTCTTTTGATCTCGTCATTTAAATAAATGCATTTTAGCCGACTTTCCGCCTTCGCAGTGCGAAAGTGAGTTGGATGCCGAGAGAAAAATAAACATGTGCCATTCATCGAATTGTATCACAAGTGGGTCTTCTTCTCTTGACTGATCATTTCCAATCAGAATCTCTCCGCAGCCTTTTTTCGTGTAGATGAAATTCCGTGAGCATCGCGATGAGATCACTTTGGTCACTGATTGAATTAGCATATGAGGCGATGGGTGTGTTGGAACAGAAGCCGTGCGCGCGAGAGGTGAGAAAAGGGGGCGGGCGGGCGACTGATAAAGAGCATTTTGAGCATTCATCAATTAAATTCCCCCGATATCAATTTTAATCGTGAAACCACCACTGAAGAATTCGTGTACATGCGCCTCCAAATGATGGGCTCGCAGAGGGAGAGATTGTGTGCCTTGTCAGCACCTTCGTCACAAGGCACTTGTGCGAGTGTCTCACATGCAAACGGAGACTCTCAGCCATACATCCATGGGCCCGCCAATTCCTCGCGCAGCTCGCAATCAGAATCAGTATTTTGTGAGCCTCTGACTTCGAAGCATCAGCCGAGGAGAATCTCCCACCCGCGCGCGATCATCCAGGGAAAGGAAACACCGCAGCGACTTCTCTCCCTCGCAGTAGGGAGTGTGAGCTCTGAAGATCACCATCTCGCAGTCAAGTGCTGGCCAAACACATCACTGTGATCCTCGTGCCGATCCATCACCTGAAGATCATCCCAGCTTTTTCGAGACGCTGCGCGGAAAAAAGTGAGTGAATCTCGCGCGCCTCTTCTGTCCATGTCCGAAAGAGTGATCTTACATTAACCTCCCGGGAAGATCTCTTATTGACTCTCTGTTTTTTTTTTATTCCGCCTCGTCAGCATTTTTGCATGAATGTCTCCAAGTCCGGAGTGTCGCGTGTGAGTGGGAATGTTTTTTTTTGGCGGATTATTTGCTGATTTACCATACTTTTTCCGTTCTATCATCAGCAAATGCATGGTTAACGAGAAGTTTCATCAATTTTCGCCTTCTGGCAAAATAGTGCCAAATTCTTCTTTCGCTTCTGCACACACAGTTTCCAGTCGATCGTGTGAATCGTGCGCAATCATTAGTAGGACATAGAAGTGAAGATCGCATGAATTCTACGGTGACAAAAACACCTACTTAAACACACTTTTGCTTCTCTTTTGTGGGTGGGAAAGTGCGAGAAAAAGTGGAGAGAATGACAGAGAGACCCACAAATGTGGAGATAGCAAAATGTACACCACAATAAGACATTGGACTGTTTTTTACGCTGCTTAAGAAGCTCGAATATGTAGATTGCAAAAATTCACATCTCGTGCATTTAAAGCGGTATCAGACTTGATTGCTCTAAAATTTACTTTCCAACGAACTTCCTTTGTATCCCGAAGAATCTCATTCACCGTAAACATTTTAAGATTCAGTGTTGCTCTTCGATATTTGTGCAAATTGCGGAGTTGTTTTTTCCCCTTTGTCTTTGCTGAATAAAATTTGCCATAAGAGACACATGTAAGATCACACTTTTTTCACCCAGAGAGAAACATTCCAAAAATATACACGAAGAAAAGGAATTTATTGCTGGGCTAAAAATTGTGTACATGGCGAAATGCAGACGAAGAAAACACATTGCGAGCGATAAAAATGATGCTTTCTGTGGAGATGTAAATAATATTTGCACTTTTTTATAGTCACACATGATTAATTGGCATGCAGTTTAATTTTAATGATAAAGAACTTCTGGGAAATGTGCCTGACTGAATGGCAGAGAGGAAATGTATGATGACACGATCAAATTGTGAAGATTCATAAAGTGTTTCTCGTACGTTTATCTCTGTGAATTCTTAAAATTTCGTGAATAACTTCCACTTGCAAGGCGTGATGTCACTATGACTCAAATTGAGGGCGATGGAGAAAATATCCTCTTTCTCTCTCTCTTTACGGATTTTATCGCACGCAGAATTTTTCGCGATTAGTACATAAAGTAAACAATTTATAGGGGGAATATTCTTTGAATACTATGTGTTTCCCATCTAATCTGTGCGGTTTGATCTGAAATTGCTGCTGATTTATTTATTTATTTTGCATGAAAAATTCACTATAAATTGCTAAATGAAATCGCCTGAATGCACAAAAAGGGGGCACATATGACGGATTTGAGCGCTAAACAATAACCACCGGATCGCTAATGTAATTTATGTGGTCCGCCTAAGAACTGCTGCTGCATTGATTGAGGAATTTTATAGGTGGAGGAGGCGATCGCGATAAGAGTCGATCGAAAGTGCTCTGTTTTCCCCTTTCGGTCTCCGCTCGATTGCAATCTTAATGTGCTTCCTGTTGGAGATCCCATTGTTGTGTCTAAACATTCGAGCAATGTCTATTTTTACACCGAATTCCATTGATAATCCATACCTAATCACACTTTTCACATCGATTTAGCTTCAGCAGTCCAAAAGTCTCTCGATTTATCGGTCATTTAATGAGATTTTCAGATACTGAAGACAAGACATCAATTTGATATAAAGTAGTTTTTAGTTTCACGTTTAACCAGTCAATCGCAATGAGTTTCAACTTGTGACAATCTTATCGAATGTTGAGGAAAATTGAGTAAGATTCACATTGGCCTAAATATGAGCAAATGGAACCCACTATTTACCTTCTTGTCACTCTCTTGTGTGAACGAGGGGAAAAATACACATCGATTCTACAGCGATGATCGCACAAAAACGCCCGGGAGACATTCTCTATGGAACAAACCCAATTTTTAGGAATGAGGCCAGCTTCCAGCCCCTCGAGCATGTCAAAAACTTTGTGATCATTTGCCACAAATCATCGAGAATGCCTTCGACAGGTCTTTTGGCGCATATGCTCGTGTCCAGAGGCTGTCAAGTGTCTGTCTAGAGCGCAAATTGGTCAAATTAGTTGAATTCTTGATAGACTCGGATTTAGCAATTGGCCTCTAGGATAGAATTTATGAGATAAAGAAGCAATCTATCAAAAGTTCTCTTGCACAAACCCCTTCAATTTTGTCTCCTTTAATTAACATTTATCACTCCTTGCGATAATTGCTAATCGTTTTGCCTGAAGATGTTTCAATTATCTCGAAAAATGCACAAATAAGCACTTAAAATGATTTTTCCTCACTTGAAAATCAATTAGCAATACACTCCAGAGGAGATTCACACTCCACAATGTGAAATTTTATTGCGGTGTCGTGATTAAGATTATTATTCATGCGATAAGAGAACACATGGAATTCCTCTAGTCACTGTGCCGCTTCTTATGGCCCAGTGATAAGCCCCCGTTTTAAGATACTCACCAGCCTGACGAATAGACAAAAAGTCACTCTAATCTGGATTTACTTTAGGAAGACGCCATATAGCGTGTGTTTTTTGGCATTCTTCGTCGCCGCAAGAATGTTTTGGAAGCGAGAGACGATCTCCGCGATGGTTTTTATCCGCCAGCCAGAGATTGTGAAATTGTCGGATTTATTAGGAATCTCGCACGAAACATCATAAATTGGTATTTGCTGGGTTTGAATATCTTTCGGGCCGTGCGATAAGTCAAGACATAAAATCAGAAATTATGAAGCCAGTGATCTTCGCTGGACTTGAAACACATAATAATACACTTTGGTGGAGTCCAAGGCCGAAAAATTGAAATGCTATCTAGTTTGGTTATTACATCCATTGATTCTTAAGTGGAAAAATTAGAATCTCTTGTCGCCTCCTTTCGGCCTGTGCGGTGAGAGACAATTTTTCACCCATGACGGCCACCAATTAATTGAAAACATTAATCTTCACACTCATCCATAGCACAATTTTAATCCCAGCGAGCACTTAAGTAAACAAACATCAGCAAAAAGCGACTCATAATAGAAAATTCAAGTGAATAGGTTATCGCATAATGAGTGCAATAAATTATTATTACATCTCCCAGCGAATTATATGACTTCACACGCCAAGTTTAGATAAGAATGCATCAGAGGATTAGGGTGCGTTCACACGGAATTTTTGGGCCACAGATTTTTGGGAATACCCAAAAACACAATGAGATTCGCTAGCTTGTCTAATGAGGAGTTCAACTTGAGATCAATCCATATTACTTCAGTCTCTGATCTTAAGAATCTTGATGTGAAAATATATAGTGTGATCGCACCATTAGATTTGAAGTACTTGAAGATTTTCTCACTTTACGACTTGGGATGTTTGGAAATTGTGTTTTGGCTGATGTTGAGTTGTTTGGAATTCGGTAGAAGCAATAAATGTAATGGAAGAGTCATAAAAATTTCATTCAGTGGTTGAATTCAAATGAAGGATTGAAGGCGAAACGAGACGAGCATTCCCAAGAGTCTTTGCACATGAGATCTTAGCTGGTGAATGAGGAAGAGTGAGAAAATTGATTGAAGGCACTATAAATTCCCCAATTGACCATATAATGGCGAAAGTGTCAAAAATGTCCATTGACGACAACGACGAAACATCCAAGGTTGGACGCTATTTAATTGTTACGGAGCAGCCAAATACAAAACACACACTTCTCTCAGACTAATAGTAATCTTGAGGCGCGATGTTTGCATTTGGAACTTCCGCGGCTTCCCCGCCGATCATCCGTTCTGCGAAATCACGTCAGACACTCATGATGATGATGAATCTGGTTTGGCGCCCATAATTAGATAATCACTCTTGCTATTTACCATCCAAGCAGACGCGATCGCGTCTCACTCACAATCTCATGAGTGTATTACCGCCCATTGAGCGTTCAATTGTCGCTCCTCGGCATGTCTCAATTTCGCCTCAGATGACAATATTGATGTTTGTCACGACAGCGCGGCAAACTGATTAAATTTACACATTTTTACCCACATTTGCTTAGCCATGGCACTTCTTCCGATAATCATTGAAAGCGACATTAGATCCGGATTGTTGCCATTTTAGCACATTCTCTAAAATTGATCACTCCTCACCATATTGGCCAAGATATGGCAATTTGAACTTGCCATTCACACGAACAATGTGGCTAAAAGTAGATTGGAATAATATAAATTCCCCAACACTTCAAACCGGAGATCATCTCGTGGTCAATTCAAAATCGACGCTCAATTCTGCAATTCGCCAAGAGACACCTAATATGCAGGTCAAGTTTGTCCAGTTACTGTGACACCCCTTTTTGCATCAAAACTATTTTGATTGTGCTGCACTCACGCCATGAGATTTATTGGGTAGAATCGTTTTCGAGAGTATCAATAACGCATACAAATTTTTCAATTAAACTTCTCGCTGTCCAATTTATTATGCAAAAGTTATCAATTTTGCAAGACACACTTTCGAAGGTGTTTTGCAAATTGGCTTTGGAGCAGCACCCCCACAGGCTATTGTGAAGTGTGTGACCAAAGATCAGCAACATTGAGTGATGCTCGTTAATCTGTAATTCAAATTTCCATATGAAGCTTCTCAATGGGTTTTGTGGAAAAAATACCACATATTTTAAAAGAATGATACATAAACAGAATCTTGCGATCTGTAATAAAAACAATTCTAGATTCATGAATTGACGAAAAATGTGTATCAAAATCACGTTAATTGGAATAGACTTAAAGTTAATCAACTGGAAGCTGAGTAAACTTATAATGTAGGCTTCAGTATTAAAACTACCACTCCCAAGTCTTGTAAAACCAGTCATCGGTATTTGGAATATGATTTTCCACTCCACCATTGTTTTCTAGGCACCTTGAAATAAGATGCCTTAATTCTGAAATATTCATATATCGCATATGAAAGAGAATTTCTCGTCAGCAGTATTGTGACAGTGAATAAATCAATCGCTCGATTGAATTGATTGTAAATGGACACACACTGTTGTGACATTGTTGGGGAGATTATCAGGGAAAATGAGTAAGGATTGAAATGTTAGAAACACGCGGAAAAAACTCGATCGTGTCAATTGATCTCGTCGGCGGAACAGATAAGCGCGAATGAGAGCGTCATGTGGCGAATTCTAGTGTGATGACATAAATTATGCAAATGCCGAGCCTCTTGTCCTAATCGCTCCGTAAAAATGAATCGCACGGGGACAAACTCCGCTGGAAAATGAGTGGAAACAGGCGCTTTATGACATAATTTTTTGTGCGCCACGTCGTAAATTTTGCAATCAGTGTCTCGGTGTTTTGGTGTAGTTATGCAAATGACGCCATCGTTTAATTCATCAGCGCGCAGAGAGTGAGAATTTCGCACAGACCAATTTTTGTGGTCAACAGACTCATCATCAGAGCTGGTGGAAGCGGAAAATTAGTAAATTTTCCCCGTCGTAAATTCACTTTCAATGTCATGGATTAGAGCGTGTGAATGTAACGCGGAAATTGTTGCGACTTCTGCGTCAGACATGAATGCAATTAGCGGAGAAGAAGAGATGCCACTTTGTGGGTGAATGAGAACAATTATACAATTGTCTATCGGCAGATAAGATAATGCGGAATCATCCCTCAAGGCCTCCAATTGCCATCATAAAGTGCGTGGTGTCAATAAGACGTCGTGCGTCGTGTTCTGAGGAGTTTCCTCTTCTCTCAGCCTCCGGGGCGACTCAAGTGCATTGCACAAAGTGCCTTTTACGGTTCACAAAAGTGGACTCCTCGAGTGTGATCACATTTATTGGGTATTTAGATCATGGTGAATAGTTGCCTGAAATATGCCAGAGATTCGCTTCGCGAATGCAACAAATCCGTTTCGTGGGCGGTGGATTTTCTAACTTTTCCAAATGACTCTCCAACAAATTCACACACTCCCATTGTATGATCGCGTATCGCTCTCGCTGCTGGCAACTTCACGATATGGGGGAGTAGCTCATATCAATTTCATCTCGAGAGTTTGCTGGCTGATCTTAACGGATCACTCTCTTGGCCTGCGGGAGCTCTTCACGTCTCCTGCCAATATTGTGTCTCACAGCCACTCCAAAGTGCCACATTCCATCGCTGGAACCTTCCGCAACACTTCTCCAAGGGGTTGACAATTGCTGCTCCTCCAGTTCTCACCACAGAGCATTTCAATGGCACTTGATTCGCAATGCTAAACTGTCTTTTTACGACTCAATTCGCGCATTTCAGTCAATCTTCCGTGAAATTGCTTCGCTCACAAATTTATTGGCAATTAATAGTCAATATCGATATAATGTGCACAATTACCATTGATTTATTTATAAACATTGAGTCGCGCAAAAGGAATGCTGAGAAATGCTTCTTGCCATAATCTCTAGAATTTCGTAGTTCTTTTCCCCCTTTTTTTTGCTCAAGAGTAATTGCTCTTTTTTATTGAATTCCGGATGCAGTCAGACAAATATTAATGTGAGAGTTCTTTCGAGTATATTGTCAGCTCTTTCTGGGGGATTTATAGAGTGGGATTGAGGAGGGGAAATGTTTATGAAAAACTATTAACAAATCTCAAGAGATGTCGACTAGTGTCAATCAAGCGTTTTTACTTCTCTTTACTAGCCTCTGGTTGAGGCGTCTCACACTCGGATGGAATTTGTGTCTGTCCCAACAGAAGTCAATTAAGCACAGACAGAGAAAAACAATACTTGACTACACCTTGGACTTGATCGCGTCACATTAAATCATGATTACAAATTAACAAATTGCTCAGGCTATAAATTTGACTCGACACCCAAGGGAATTAGCAAGTGGGCTAGGAGTTTATTTATGACTTACTCTAATGGAATTGATTGATACTCTATAGGGAGATCTTACGCATTCGCCAGTGCATATCAAGTGATAGTCGCACTGATTAATAATTTCTGCCATAAATTGTTATCAATGCTGGAGTACAAAGGATGCGCGCCAGAGCAAATAGAGAACATCGTGTGTGTGTGCATTTGATTTATCATGATGGCTTTCGGAATTGCCGTTGCAGCTTCTGATCTATCTCAATATGTTTGTTAAATGCATTCAACAATTTTTCATTCATGTCATAATCATTATCATCAATACTCCCCATATGGAGCAGTCACGAGAGTTGGAGGCAAACACTGTGTGGCATCATCGCAGCGCTAATATCAATAAATTCTCCTCTGCATTGAATCACAGTCTTCGCCTGTGATCTATCATGATCACCCAGAGTTGCTCTAGGGTGAGAATTTCTTCTCCCGCCGCCCAATTACTGTCTAATGAGGCTTCCATTCTTCCTTGGGAAGTTGATATTCAAACTTTGCTTGAGATACACAATATGTTTATTTAGCCTCAATGTTGCAACTGGCGCTTCTTTTGTGGGAAGTGCAGCTCACTGGGAGATAAGATACTTCAATGAGTTCATTCGCGATTTGATTCCGTAGAGAATTTCACTCTGGGCATAAATTTACATATATTCTGATAGTCTAAAATAATGATTTCCTCCCTTTCTGGGGCAATCATTCAAATAGCACAAGAAAAGACGAAGAATTACTCCAGGAAATAGTTAATTGCCGAATAGTTCTACTTGAAAACGCAGATTTTAGGGCTTCAATCGCTCGAAAATGAGCAAAAATACTCTCTTGCCTTATATCTTCGTCGTAACAATTATCATTTCATCTGACGGAGCCACGCTTCGAATTCTTTCAAGTCATATTTTTTGCTATGTTTACACAATCCAATACTCGATTCTCCCTCTAATTATTTACCACATAAATAGACAGAGGAGTGCTGTAAAAAGCGGGGAAAATTAAATATAGTGAAAAATTGCCATAGATCTTCTCTCTCTCTATCACTCGATGGGTATCTTAAGGCGTAGAGATAAACAAATAGTAAATTTGCACTTGACGCTTGTTCCTCTGGCCGCTAAAAATATTCGGGGCAGAGAATTGTACGATCTCTGTGTACTTCTTTCCGCATGCCATTCAGTAGATTAACACTGCGGCCCATTGAGCACTTGGCAGAGGTGTTCTTCGTTGTCTAAACATTTGTACCTTTGGGTTTGCCAATGTCGTCATCGAGGAAGATTTCACATGTCTCTTTCCACTAATTAGCGCCCAATTAACATGCGCAGTCTGGCTGTAGGATCAGCAGACGTCCAGAGTCAATGTCAATAATGCAGCTTCTCGCGCGCAAGAAGAAGACGTGAGAATTGCCATCAATTTGCTCTGGACTTGTGTTCAGAGAAGAAACAACAGACAACATTGGGACATGCTGTAAAATGCTTCGCAAATATTTAATTTGAATTTTGTCTCATTTCGGCGCCGGCGAATGTGGGTCAATTGCAGACACTACCAAAGACAATGACCTTTGCCATCGACAAATATTTTTATTAGCGCTTTCTTGACAAATTCACTGGGGCAGCGACGGCGATGTATAATTGTACTAACGAGTGGTTTCTCTTTCTTTCTCCGCGGACGCTCAGGAGGCCCGACCATGGCAGTGAGCATACGATGGAGCGCGGCGGGCGTTGTGTGTCTACTGGCCATCATTCAGCCACTTCTTGCGCAATACGACGACTTCCCCGGACCTTACTGTGCCGACTCCAGATACGGCGGATGTTGCAATAGCCGCCAAGACACGTGCTCAGTTCCGATTTCCAGTGAGTCTATCGAGTAGCTAATTTTATACTCTATCGCAATTCATTATCCTCTGATCTCCAGCAACTCTTTGCTACTGCGACGAATTCTGCAACCGAACGACGAATGGCGATTGCTGCCCAGACTACCAAAGAGTGTGTCTGGGCCTGGCGCCGGAACCTGTGCTCAGATGCCACCACAAAGGCAACTACTTCACCCAATTCGATCCGCCACTCAAAGACAACTGCAATCTCTGCCACTGCCAGCCGAATGGGCAGACAATCTGCGACAGAGACACTTGCCTCGTGGACGAGGATCTGCTGCACTCTCTCAGCACTGCCTCAGACGCACTGGGCTGGCGAGCGACCAACTACACAGAGTTCTGGGGCAGGAAGTACTCAGACGGACTGGATCTTCGCCTGGGCACCTTCGAGCCGACCTATCCTGTGAAGGCCATGACACGCTTAACCAGTCGTCGCGGCGAAGTTCCGCGATCCTTCGACGCTCGCCAGCAGTGGCCAGGCTTCGTGTCTCACGTAGTCGACCAGGGCTGGTGTGGCTCATCCTGGGCCGTCTCCACGACATCCGTGGGCTCTGATCGCTTCGCCATTCTCTCCAAGGGTCGCGAGGTAATTCAGTTGGCGCCACAACAGTTGCTGTCGTGCGTGAGGAAGCAGCGCGGCTGCAACGGAGGCCACCTGGACGTGGCCTGGAACTATCTGAGGAGAATTGGTGTGGCCAATGAAGAGTGCTACCCTTACGAAGCATCGCGGAACAAGTGCAAAGTTCATCGAGGCGCCGATTTGTCTTCCCTCCGGTGCCAATTGCCGACGAAAGTGCCTCGCCAGCACTTCTATCAAATGGGTCCCGCGTACTCGCTCAACAACGAGACAGACATCATGGCTGAGATCCAGCGATCGGGTCCAGTTCAGGCTACCATGCGCGTCTACAGGGACTTCTTCAGCTACTCTGGCGGAATCTACAGGCACTCCCAGTCGCATCACGCTGAGAAGAGTGGCTTCCACTCAGTGAGAATCGTCGGATGGGGAGAAGAGCAGGATGGCTATTCAGTCACGAAATACTGGGTAAAGTCCCAAAAATCGTACATTTGTCTGGACAATTTAACGTATTCTTTGTCTTTTCCAGATTGCCGCCAACTCCTGGGGCACTTGGTGGGGAGAAGACGGCTTCTTCCGCATCCTTCGTGGCTCCAACGAGTCCGAAATCGAAAACTACGTGCTCGCCTCATGGGCAGATGTGTTCACAAAACAGAAGGTCTCGCGCGTGGCGCAGTCTTTTGCCCGTCGTCGCTTCTAGTGTGTTCTCAAAATCCATCAAACCCGATTCTCTTGCTTTATGCACCGAAATATTCACTATTTCACGAACGCGCAATCATGCAATTTGAGCGAATTTAATCATATCTGTATTGCCTCCGCGAAGGAGCGTCGTAGAGTGTATAAAAAATCTTCATTTCTTCACTATAAGAATTATTATTTATACGTAGAGCGAAATGTTCAACGAGATATTTTTTAAATTGAGGATTTTGCGTCCTATTCGCTTACGTATGCATCTGTGTTATTTATAGATTTTTTTCGTGTAATTTAAATAGAGAGAGAGAGAAGGAGCAAAATACATTATGTACCATATTTTGTAATTTTTACTACATAAAAACAGGTGTTCGTGTCAGAATTGTCATAAGATTCGAAATCTTGGAAATCAATGCCAGTTTGCGATATCAGATGATTCTACTGATATGGAGCATCACCATAAAATAGTGTATTATAACACACGTCTTTTAGATTTTTAATAAACTCTGTTCTTTTGACCACACGCTTTTTTCTTCTACCGTATTGTTTGTGGCGATTTCAGTTCAAAATCATTTAACGTTTCATGCATGTTTCATGTTTCCATTCTTATTTCACATTTCTATGCAGCACATGCTTCATCGCCCCGTCCAACTTACGCTCTTTACGCATTCGAACAAGGCTGAAAGTCTTATCAAAAGAACAAGTTAAACCATTGATTAATGGATTATAATTTATTTATCATCTCTCATTTATACACAATATTCGTAATTCACTCGTTCATGATTTTCTCCTCTGCCTCTTGGGAAATTGGGAAAGAAGCTTTGCAATTTCTAGTGCACAATTTCTCTCACTTTCTCTACATTGTAAAAATATCCACGTAAAACTGTGTCTTTCTCATGAATTCTCATCATCAATGCTTATGCGAATTTCTTCACCTCAATATATCTTTCTAAATAATAAAAAATACTAGGTAAAGGAGGGGCTTTTTGGGGGGAATTTCATTCACGGTTGCCTTTTATTTGAGCAGAAAACATCTCTAATAATGTGTTTGTGTGAAAATCCAAAATAAATATCCTCAATTTTTTTCTTCCCTCCACATTTTCTTCTACCCCTATTTACACACATATCTCATGGAAAAGATTCTCACCTCTCACCACCACGTTGAAACAGTATTTCAAATAGAGGATAAAGTGTGATTCTGCTGGTGTGGATAAACTGGATGGACTTACGTCTAGTTTAGCTGTATTCCCGCATACGCGGCCTCCAGGCCCGTCTCTGAGCTCTCCAGCTTATTTCGAATGTGCGCCATGGTGTTCTGGTAGTGCATCTCGATCTGCTTCGTCTCCTCGGACGCCTCCAGGTTGGGCAGCTCCTCGTTGATCTTCGAGATGAGCTGATTGAGAATGGGCACGGTGATGCCCGAGTGTCCCGCCTCGAAGTAGAAGATATAGTGATTGAGCAGCTCGACGTACAGCTGCACCTGCACACCCTGATCCAGACACTGCGACGCAATCCGGGCGCCCTTCTTCAGACACTCCAGCGTCCTCTTCTCGTCGTGCATCTCGCCGCCGTTCTGCTTCCCGCTCCAGAAGAGACTGGCGCATGTGACCACAGCGCGGCACTGATCGGGCTTCTTGAGCAACTTCGAGGCCGCCAGGGCGCAGTTGGTCCTCAACGGTTCGGCATTCTCCTCGCTGAAGCACGTCATCTGCTCGAAGGTCGCCATGATGAGCGTGATGGCGGCCAGTTGAGCCTTGGAGTCACTAATCTCGTCCTCGTACAGCGAAAACGCCCTCGTCATGAAGTCATAGGCCACAGATTCGTGATTCGTGTAGCCGATCTGGCCCACACAGAGCGCCCCCTGAAGGTACAGCCGGAGTGCCAGCTCGGGCAACTCCGACTTGGCCAGCACGGAAATTGTACCGTGACAGAATTGCAGAATCTTCTGGCACTTCTTGTCCCACATCTCGTCTTCCTCGCTGATGCTCTTGTACTTGTGCGCCAGTTGGAAGGCCTGGAACACAATTGGCGGCAGCACATGCTTTATTCTGGCGCCACCACCCTGGCCAAAATGCTTCCTGGCCATCTGGAGGATTTTGTACTGTGTATCCGGATCGTCACCCTTCAGCAGATGCACAAATCTCGCCACGATGCCTTGCTCCTCGGCGAAATCTTCGGCGTCCGGCTTCGTGGCCGGCTGATCCTCCTGATCCATGAGCAACGGACCCAGCATCGTCAGCACACTGTCCGCTTGCTCGGCCGTGGGTATCAGCGTCTCATTATCCAGGATGTTCAGCACAATATACAGAGCCAGCGATTTCCGTGAATTGTAGTCGAACTTCTCGAGCAGCGGTGCGAAGAACTTCAGCTGCAAAATCGTGAGAACACTGTAGAAGTCCACACACATCCGCAAGAGACGCGACAACTCCTGATTCACTGTCAGCGTGTGCGAAATGCTGGTCATGTTGAGACGCTCCAGGATGTGATTGGTCGTCTCCAGCACTTTGTCCACATAATCCACGCGATCAGCGTACACTTTCTGCGCCAGGCTGATCAGCGCCACTTGCAAGGACACCGTGTCCTCCAGCGGCATGTCCGTGCGCGCCTGTACGATGTTCGCAATCTGGATGCTGAACACCTCAAACAACTGCACCTCGGCAGTGAGATCGCCCTCGCCAGCGTCTCCAGCGCCCATGCCCTTCCCATTGCGCTGATTGAAAGCCGCCAGACGATCGATCAAAGAGATTATGATGTTCTTCACATTGACGCCTGCAAAAAAAAGATCGAATATAGCTGCTGCTCTAGCACAAAAAAAACGCATGCACAGCGAAGAAATTCAGTGTGTATCTGAAGCGCCCAAAAAAGAGCGAATGAAATTGCGATATAAAGTCATTGGCGGGGAAAAATACCACAAACTGGATTATCATCGTCCGCCTTATCGCTCACACATGAAAACTACACAAATTCCACAAATAGCGAACATCAAACAGCCCCCAGTTCCTGCACTTTGAGCCATACAGATGCAAGAGAGAATCTCTGCACGCAGTGATTACGCAACGCACCTGACTGAAGCTGGGCGCAGGATTTGAGGAAGGGATCCAGCGTCTGCAGGTGGAACTCATCGGGGAACACCTGGATGATGCACTCCATGAGGTATTCTTGCGCAATTGCGTCCCGACAGCTCACCACCTGCTCCAAGATGCCGGGCAGGATGAGGCGCTGATACGTGTCCAGAGTAGCGGCTTCCAGCTGTGACAGACGCACCAGATTCGTGCCCACGAGGATCTTCAGCTCCTCACGCTCCTTCTCGCGCCTCTGCTTCTCACTCGAGTGACCCTGGTGCTGCATGCGCACCCACAGCTTGTTCATCTCGGCAAAGTTCATGAGGACAAAGTCAATGGAGTCGTACACTGTGCCCTCGTTGTCTTCCGTGGAAGCCAGCGTGTCGGGGAGGATGTTGCGCGTGCACTGGAGAAGGTAGTTGCGCAGGAACAGGCCTCGCAGGGGATTCTGGACGCCGCGGCACATCTCTACGAGGTCTTTGAGAATGCTGCGCTTCAGGGCGCCGTTCGTCTTGATGTACACCAGTCCCACGGTGATGAGGAGGTACAATCGGGGTACGATATTGCCGGCGTACTGCACCAACTCGTACAAATCCGGAACGCGACGCCCCTTCTGGAATTCGTCCAGCAGATACAGCTCCAAGTGGCGCAGCTCATCAGTTATCGCCATGTCTGCACAAGAGATTGCATTAGAGACTTTGCAGGCAGAGAATCTTCCCGTGGATACACTCACAGAGTTCGTAGTAGCTCTTGGGAGAGAGCAAAGACGTCCGGAGTTCTCCCAGCATCGTTGAGGCTCCCTTCAGTGCGTCCATGAGGCGTCCCTTGTCCAGGAAGCACTTCATCTGGAATGCTTGGCTCTGAACCACCTGGATGGCATCGCCCAGAAGCTTCTCCTGCTCATCCATGCCCGAATTGACTGGAGTCTGAGGCTGCAAGACACATAACCTCACATGAGCTTACAGGAAACCCACACAAAAGCACCTCCAATTCCCCATATCACATCCCCAGTGCACTAAACACACCCTCCAAGTCCCAATCACTGATAAGGAGCATTGATATCGGGGGGAAATGAGTGAGAGAAGAGAAGAAAAATGACCATTTGCTTCCGCAAACCACCCGAGGAATTGTAGGACGGCGTGCTCCAGGGATACATCGCGCTCTGGCACTGTATTGCTGTGTGAACTGTTGAATGAGATTAATGACCGTGCACTTACCATAATATTTATCAGTGAAATTTCCTGATAAAAGCCAGCAAAATATTAATCAAAATCGATTCTTGACATTCGTCGGCGATAATTTTCTCGGATTTCGAATCCCGACTGTAGTCGAAGATGCCCGAAAGAGCGGCCCGCGGAGGAACATTTCCCAAGCTCTGTGTTGTTGTTTTCCGAGCTTCAATGTGCTGATTCTCTTTGATTTTCCTCAATTTCCGTGAATATTTCCGCTAATGTGATTAGAAAAGTGTAGAATATAGTTCATAAGATGTCCAGGACTCCGACGAGGCATAATGTATCGCTGGATTCCTTGAATCTCTGTAAGTGTTGTGCAGAAGAATGCGAATTTAACCTCAAAATAAATTCCCGGGTTGTTCTTTTACCTCTTCACAGCATTCAAATCTCCAAAATCTCCTGCCCAGGACGCTTGTCCGCTGACCAAACGGCTTTTAGTGATTCTGCAGCACCTCTCGAATAGCTATGCATCCTGGAACAAAGCTCATAAGAGAGGAATATCCGTGTGTAGATCAATTGAGACAATCAAATGCAAATCACTTGAAAAGGATTCACATTTTCCGGACGATTTGAAGCTTTCCTGTGAGGAACTGGAGTCTCTACTAACTACTCTGAATGATGCCTTAATAAAGACTCGAGATGTGAAGAAACAAATCTCAGCATTGGCTAAATTGGATGCAAATAGCCAAATCGTCTTGAAGAGCTGGACAATGAAGAAGATTGAGAAATTCGTCGAGGATGTTTTGAAGGCATTTGAGGAAGAGTTTAGAATAAAGAAACTCGTAAAGGGTGAGAAATTTCTCTGCTATTTGAAATTGAAAGGCAATTTTGACTGAAATAATCTGTGTATTTACAGAAAACATCGCCTTTTCCCTCAGTCACGCAGAGTCAATTCACATGTCGTGCGTATGGGAGTATCAATACTTCGTCAACCAGGAGATTTCCACGGGATTCACGATCCTCAGTGCTGAACTCAGGTAAAGTCTTCAAAATACGCAGTTTATTTACAATATGTATAGTCAAAATTATACAATATCTATTGATAATGAATTATCACATGGTGAAGAGACTCCAATGAGTTCACAGATCCACTCATTCTATCATCTACGCTAAACAACTAGATTAGAGTTTCTTTCTCCGCGGTATTTCGTGCGACTGTTAAGAGGACAGGAAATTTGATAAGTACAGTTTACGTACGACGCACTGAAGCTGTGATTATCTGACAAAAATCTTGCCATTTTACCGGCCACTCCAAATCTCTGTACTGAATCATGTTGTGTGTGTGTAAAAAGTTCTGAAATCTCGGTGAAGAATCACAACTTCAGAGCGCTGAATTCAGTTCGAGGGAGGCGCAAATTGAGCAAATTCTCGGGGCAACACTTGTTGATTGAGCGCCAAAGGCAGTAATTTGTACATTTGCATTGACGCTGTGGCTCTTCAGCCATAAGTCACCGAGATTTTAATCTATTGTCACCTCTTTTTTTTGCTCGCGCTCTTCGTGCACGACTTAAAGGCTAGAAAAGCCACACTGATTAGCAGTGTGGAACAATTGATGGTAAAATGTTAAGTACTCGCAAGTTATTCCTCTCCTCTTGTCTACACGCGGAGTTTTGAGTCTATAAATAGGAAGGGATCAGCGTCGCTGAGACAATTAAGCAGTAAAATTATATTTATATGGCCATTAAAGCGCACTTTTAATTCATCCGGCGTGGCGCGATGTAAAAAGTCCGTGTTTTCACCCTCGTATCGGCACCGTGGATCTAATCACTCGCTGCTCAACAGCGCTGTTTCTCCGGGGGGCGCAGATTGGCGTGCCTCCTGGCCGGACTTGGTGACAATCACCGCGACGCGGGTTCACTCGCGGGTATTGTGATGGCCACGGAGGCACTCGTGGAGGGCAGCGGCGAGGTCTGGGGCGGATGCAGGAAGGCGGCCGGCGTGAGCTTTATGGCGTCGTCGTAGCTGGGCGGCGCGACGGCCACTGTGTCGTAATCGGGCGGCTTTTCGCGGCGATTCTCATCCGAGACGCCGCCAATGACGTGCACGGAAGGATCTTGTGTGTGCTGCAAGAGGGAAAAGAACACATAACTCCTGTGAGTCGGTCGCGATGGGGTTAAATCCGGTTCACGGTAGATTCTCACGTCATCCGATGTGCCTGTTCGCGGCGGAGTGTGGAGCCAGCAGCACATGGCCGTACATATTAGCAGTGCTCCGGCTGTTCAAATAGGCAACAGAAGAGAAACATCATCAGCATTTAATTACTTCCTGTCGCAATTTCTTGCAGAGGAGAAAGCGCGCTCAGTCCATCAACAAACCCTATAGAATATGCCCAAGAGGGCGGTTTCCCAATTGATTCACCACTTGTGGCCGTAAAATTCTTGTGTCTTTTGATTTTTTACGATGCGGCTTTATGTCGTCTAATCCACTTTGTCCCTTTCCTAGGATGTTTTATGAGAGTGCCACAAAAGGTGCCTTTCGCAATTGTATTGGCATCGAAAGGAGGAGAGTTCATTGATTTGTCTCCACTTTAATCAAACACACTCTTGTTGTAAATTATTGATAAAATAGGAAATTTAGCGGAAGATTGATGGTAAAAAGTGCAAAAAGTCTGCTTCAGCGCAGAGCTTTCTATTTTACACTTCATTTGACAACAGCAAAACATTCTTACACTTATTACTGTGTGTGACGTTTATCTTTGTAATTAAACTGTATTTTATATCAAAACAAAAATTGCAGACGATGGTCTTTATTATTAGTCATTAAGGAAGAATTGTGGAATAATTTTATTTTTTTCTGTTTCGCTGACACTAAACTAATTGGGGTAAAAATTAAACTTTCAACAATTAAAAGAATGTAGATTGATAGGTAAGTGCTTTGCTTAGCTTATGCCGTGTTGGGATTTTGTAATCAATTCTGAAACTTGATTTGTACATTTTATGTGCAGTTTCTTATTGTAAAAAGCTCACATAATTGTCATGATTTGAAAGTACTCAGACAGTGATTAGAAGCCTAGATTAAAATAAGTATCGGATATGGTCTCATTATTTACTTTTATAGTTGAATTGAATTCTGGAAATATCGAATCTTAGATTAATTTGAATCACTTGATCACAGGATAGAACTGTAATGTAAATTCAACTCATTGATATCACGCTATCAAATTTTGAATGAAAACCACTCGTGAAATTTTGTTTACAAATTCATCAAGTTATTGAGGTAAAATATGGCTGCGCTCTTCTGTATTGTTCATGAGCGAAAGTAGAGCGTAATATTATTTGTGAAGTCTATAAATAAACTATCGTATCATTCCGTATTGACTAGCATAAAAGAACTGCAAGTTGTGTCACTCTCAAACACTCCCTTTGTCAATATAGCTAACTGTTGCAGAGAACAATTCGATAAATATGTATTTTATTACTCTTGGCCACGGGTATTGTCATTGCTGATAAATGTTGATGTTTTCATTTTATCAATTCACATGATTGCGACCGTTACCAAGTCGCTAACAAGTATGCTAATGTGAACTTGAGAATATGATTTTTGTTGTGAATCACAAAATGATGCTTTATGCAAAATCATTTTCCACTCTCGGCAGAGCCTAACAGAAGCAGTTGTGTTTAGATAGTGGGTAAAGTGGTGAAAAAAGTCTACATGTGACGATGTTGAATGTTTCGTAACTGTTGTGCGCAAATTTTGCGGTATTTGCATAAGAAGTGGCAATCGAGGTATAAAATGCCTAATGCGAATTATCAGTATATCGATAAGGCGCGATCGAATGCTCGTTGTATGGACGAAGCGCTTTAATCTTGGGACTAATTGGGAGTAGAAAACGAATGTTTGGCGTAAATATTTACCTATGATACACGCTACTCCCAAGTATCTTATGGGATCTGAGTAGTTTTCGGCAAGACCGAGCCAATTGGCCAGAGCGCCAAAGCACAGGAGTATCATTCCATAGCGATACGGTCTCTGCGTTCGTCGCGACTCCTCCAGCGTCATAACTGCAAGAATGATCAGATCAATTATGGGTAAACACATATTGTACGTGTGGAGAGGTGTGAGGGAGGTGGATTGTGAGAGCGCTAATATCTTCGGTTTGCACTCTGTTACGCACTGCTGAAGACTTTGCTCGACGAATGACGGTGGGAGGCGAATATGGTAATAATTCCAGGAGGTGAAGAAAAGAGAGTGTGTAATGATGCCAGAATGATGGTGTTTCTGTCCACCTTAAGGTCATGCAGGTACCTGGCTGACGACAAGTACCTCTTCGACTGGGCCCAATAATTACCTGAAATATTATCGTTTCTGGAACGCATACCTCGAGTCCACATGGTGGCGTGCGTTGGATACAAATGAGTCGAAATTAAGGGGTCACACGAGAGAGGGTGATAAATGATTTTGCTCCACCACAATTATCCTCTGGATTATGCTATGTCCTCTCCTTTTTTCGGGTGGGCGAGGAGGAATAGTTCAAGAGTTGTCCCGACAGAAAAAAGGCGTCTAAACGGGCGAGAGAGATAGTCTCCAAATGGCACAGGCACTAACTTTTCTTCCCTTCTCTATGCAGAACTTTTTTAAGCACCCCCACAAATTAGTGGCAATGTGATAAAATAGAATTGTCTCGTGGAGAAAATGTCTTTTGGAGAATGTTTTATCACACTCATTCTTCTCCTTCCATTTCACAATTGCACGATAATAGCAAACTATTTCCTCATCCAGCAATGCCTTCTCAACGAGCGGTAATTTCGGACTAAAGTTGCTGGACGACTGACTAATTTGTTGTATGAGAATTTACCGAAATGTCTGTGACTCTTATGCTCAACGGTGTGTCTATTCGTCTCACTTTATCAGCCCACCTCTCACTCTCTATTTACAGCACAATATGAAATTCGAGGCGATGGATAAAGTGCTTTAGGTGTATTATTGCTGGCACTAATGTATTAAAATGCGATGGTGGGAACGATACATTGCTCCTTACATATTGTCGCTATCTCTCGCTTTATTTACCGTGCAGGGGCACGTGTTTTACATAAATTGCACCTGACCGAAAATGCTCGTGTCCACCGGCCGGTGAAACCGTTTGGATGTGCCTTTTTGCAGACAGTCTAATGACCTGACAGACCTTCACTAGTGAATGTGCAATGGATCTGTAATAAGTATTTGTCAGGGAAAAAGCGTGAAGTTCTAAAATGAGCACAACAAAGAGTTCGAGTTAGGTTACAAAAATTCTTCTGGTATTCAGAAAAAAGTTGATTTTATGCGAAGGCTTTTGAATAAACCAAAGGATAAATTTTGATGCTTAGAATCCGAATTTCTGCCAGGAAAAATGATTAAAGGCTCTATTGTGCCATCCAAAGTGATCTGAGCGTCTAATTAAAGCCATAATGGCTTTTCTCATGTTCACATCATTGGATGTTATTTCAGGCTTGCAAGGGACACAATATATGTGATCACGTTGACCAAGAGAAGGTCTTTCACTCTCTGACTCATGTTTGCTTACTGATGGAATGTTTTTGTGTCTTGTTTTGTGTTCGTTTTCGTTTTTTCTTCTGGGATGAGCAAAATAGGGAACAATAATAATGGATAAATACAGGTGATAATTCCTATTATTACATTTCAACACATTTCCTTTTTTCCTCCGAATGAAGGTTGAACATTGGGTTGTGGAATTGAGGCACTTGGGAAGTGGGAAAATGCTCTTGTTCCCTATTATTTCCCTACATTTTCCAACATAATAATGCTTATTTTCGACTAGTGGCGAAATGGTAATTTTCACGTTATCTTGCCGAAAATTGCTCGTCTTTGCCTCCCATGTGCACAGTGTGCAATTGTAATAATTTGGATAAAGTTCGTGCAACTGAATGGTTTTTGTGTGAATATTTAAATATTCTTTCAAGGCTTCAATTAGACATCTCTTTAGTAGCATTGTGTGTTTGTTTTCTTTTCACCAAGAGAGAATTCGCTATGTAATCTCGGTGTGTTTGTGTTCTTCTCTATAAAGATAAGGGGGTCTTCAAATAATGCGAGTGACGCACTTTTTTCTCCATAATCACACAAAGAATGCCCAAGAAATGTGTTTATTTTTATGTTGTTTCAGTTAATATCAACAATCTTGCGAGACAGCGGAGGAATTGTTTGAGGAAATTGAGAGAATTCCGAAGGTCAAGCTGTGAAATGGGTCCTTTTTCGGTGAAAAAACATGTGACATGTGTAATTATCTAGCAATTATAGTGGATTACGTAACAAAGTGCCCCATTTGGAAACCGCTATCGTCGTGAAATGCCACATAAATTTGCCACCCTCTCGCTGTATAATGTGTCCTCCGCTGTCGCTTTCTGAGCGAACAACTATAATGAATGACACTATTAAGAATGATGTGGGGCAGTAATAAGTGACAGCGTTAGTATTGATGATCAGAGTAAATTAGCAATTGATCGCCCCCCGACAGATTAAATGTATGTAATGTAGAGTAAATGTTGGCGAGAATAACCAAATTATAAGCAATAATTGTTATTGCTAACACATTGCCTGTATGAAGACGGTGAGGCGAGGTAAGAAAAGTGCGCGCGCGTGTGTGTGTGTAATTTGAGAGGAGGATCTCGCATTTATTATTTATTTGCGGATACTGAGAAGATAAGTGACACCATTGATAACGCAACAATACATTAACTCATTTTACCGGTAAATAAAATTATGGACGCAACACAGAATGATAAAGTATCATTTTATTTGCAATAATCAAGGGTGCGGAATAACGTCTTCGTCGTACTTCTTTGCTTCTCTATATTTATTTCCGGGAGCTTTGACTGTCTCGCACTGGGCTTCGCCACTGATTGTACACCGTTGTGAAGGACGAGGAAAGACAATTCGTCGTCTTATTGGATTGTGTGAAGCCAAGTGGAAGAAGTGGCACATAAAGATGGACATTTTGGCAAATATTTGGCGAATTACTGTTGCCATTGTTGGAGGAGTAGATTGAATAGTTGAATTGTCGAGGAAAAAATGACTTTATACACGTACGATTTCAGTCAGTGAGCACGGAAAGGCGAGACATGAGAATCACTGTGCAATCGCTGCACTCCACGTCTTTGGAGTAAAGCCATCACTGCCGCAGAAATACTCACTGTCTCGCAAGCGACCAGAAGTCCGGGTGGAAGAATGTTGTGGGTCCACTGCGGATGCTCACTGTGTGGAGCACCACAAATATCAGCGGTTCAGAATCTCTCAACGACTATTGAGAGCATCTATTAGCACACAATTGCAAATGATACGAGATTATCACGACACTGTGAGGGGCTATTGAGTTGAGAATTTGGTGCAAATTTCCTCACAAGCACACCACCAACTTTTGCCACCATTTAGAGTTGCAATGTTGCTCCTCTGAGGTCTGACGACGATGTGGTGTGCGACTCTGTTTAGAAGAATGTCTCTCTGGGGATTTTGATTTCAAGCAAATCAACCTGGAAAGTCCTTATAATCTCATTGAAATGTTTGCGTTGTTTCATCTGGAAAACATGTCTCAAAGAAGATTCACTACATGTGGGGATAGATTGTGGAAATTTTATGACTCTCGCTTGTTTGTTTGATACGTGGTTGAACCATGGCGAAAACCCGTGATGACGTTTAATACTCATATGTATATACGAAGTTCCTGCATCGCGCGGATGAGACGATAGTCACGCAGTATGTAAGAAGAGAGAAAGATTACGGAAGGTAATGAGACAAGTGTGTATGCTCCTGAAAGAATTAGACGTGTGTAAATCTGTCTTCTTAGTCACATGCGATAACGCATCGTGGCGGATGGAATTTTTCCCGGTGTTGCAGACCAAATAAGTGACAAGAGAGCAGAGTGCAATAGACTCGCAGACTGCTTGCCTTTCTGGCTAATTAGACAACTTTCGTTAAATTGATGCTATTTTTAGTCGTGTGGCATTTTAACTGGTTATCTTCCAATATATTTACATTAGAGGTATTCCGCGGTGAGTTAATGAATGAATTCGTTAGAATAGAATTGATTTCTTCACGTGACTGTTGTTCTCTTCTGTGACTCACAGAAACCAGAATAATCTGCTCAAATGAGAGACTTTTGGAGCGAGTTTTTATCAACAGATCACTTACATTACAGCACTTCTTTTCGCGCGTGCAAGAACAAGTTTGAGCTTTTGTTGGAGAAAATTTCCATCATGAAAAATTCCATGCTAAACCTTTTTTTGTTTCTCTCTTATACTGAGAAAGGATAACAACAAGAGTGCGGAAACGTGAAAAATTCATGTTCTCCCCTAAACAGAGACACTTGCAGTAATTTGTATTCTTGTCCATTATTCGCACACAGTCTTCAATCATAATTTGCACATAAATTGTGTTTTGAGAAAAGCAGTAGTTTTAGCGCTTTTCCACGCGAGCGAGTTAAAGTGCAATTTATTTGTGTTGCACGTTTCAAGATCATTTTGCACTTTATTGAGTCGTCAAGACATCATGCACCAGGTGTGATGTCGTCTGGGATGAAGAGACTGCTGGGCGTGTGGGTGCAAAAAGGTGAAAAATCACTTACTCGTTGCCGAATGATCGAAAGTCATTCGTTCAGGAACAGAAATCATCAACATTTTCTGCAATTTTGTCCAAAATGACACTTTAGTTGGGGGGAAAACAGGGAAAATCAAATCACGCTTGTGTACAACTTCTTCCGCAGGTGAACGGACGCACTCTGCAGAGTGACTGACGAGATGTTGCCTCACGAGATGTGAGTCTCAGTGTCTCCTTGACCGAAAGTAGGTGAATTTACAAATTCCACCCATTCATGGCAGAAGATATACAGCCCAGAGGGATGACACAGTTGACGAGGATGGATGAGACGTGAGGAAGAACTCAATTTGTGCTGCTGGTGAAGAAGTGTGTATACAGAAAAGAATACACAAGTTTCCGTATTTGTGCGGATGGCAAATGAGCTCACATGAGATAAGAACTGTAAGTTTCATTTTATAAAATCACATTGATTCCACTCTTCTCTCTCACGGCTTCACTTCCTCATACGTGGTTGTGAATTGTCTCTTCTTTTATCTGTCGCTTGAGTTTGCTTTGGCAGTGAAAATTGCGGATTTTTTTTCCCTCCAAAACTCATTTGCATAACTTCTGGCTTTTGTGCAAAATCCCAGCGCGGCAAATGTAACTTGAGAAACAATTAAATTCTGTGAAAGATGAAAATGATGACGCGTGTATGTATCGATTACATTTCGTTTGAGTTACGTTACATCATTAGTTAGAGGTCGACGAAAGGGGTAATCTAGGAGGGAATTGAAACACATTTTCAAGGTTATTACCATTTCAAGATAATGAATAAAGTATGAACGGACGATAAAGTCTAAATCAAGCGTGATTCTTATAATTCCAAGGCGACAAGAAACAGAAATTAGTGATCTGATATTTGTTTCATTGTGAAAACTCAATTCAAAACTTGAGTCCAGGGAAAAAAATCATTAAATGTGGCAAATAAATGTCCAATGAGCAATAAGAGCTGCGCATATTCATATTTTTCAGTTCAATTTACAAGCTAACTAGTTACAGCAAATTGTAGTGAGTGAATCTATGAGCATCCGTCAGGTCAAAAGGAATAAATGGCTCAGAGTGGAAGAGCATTAAGTTGTGCTTTGCTCTCAACCGACCACCTTTTCCTCATTTGTTCTACATGACGTGATAAGTGAAATAGTGATTCCAGTGGTGGACTTAATGTGCAATCTATAGCTGCCCGTTCACCACTGGAATGCTTACAGAACTGCACACTGCACTGGGAGTCAAAATGTTGGGTGGAACAGCGTCTGTCTGGGTGGAACATAAGCTTTAATTTGCCATTGTTCCAATGTATAAAAAGGCTCACCGTTATTATGTTGGAAAATGCAGGAATAATATCATTTTCATGGTTAATTATGGACGATGGCGGGGTTGGAGTGATTGGCTCACGGGAGAAATTTTAAAATATCCGATTTACCTTCGGGAGTGGGTGGACTGAGTGGGTGTGGCTCGGGTGAGAATTTGAAGTGTTCCCTTGTCACACAAAATAGGCACTGAAAGCTCCCAATAATTTATTTACGTACGCACATCAATTAATCTGATTATTGGGCACGATTATCAGATGTGGTTCGTGGATAATTGATTTTATGAGGCCACTCAGGTTGAGAATACACGCTGAACTGTCCCACGAAATTAAATATATTAATGCCACCGAAGGGCGACCGCTCTACGACAACGAATTATGTATGGTGCTCGAAGTTCTCTCATGCTCTTTCCCTCACTCTCTTGCTTTTTTCTTCGCAGCTTTTTTTCTTTCTCTCCTTCTTCACTTCGCCGTGTCAACTACATAATTAGGCCTGTGTGTGGCATTTCACTATATGTGCACGCAGGTGTTGGGAAACGTGATTGTGTGCCGCGCGGATCGATAGTTAATTTATATTCGAAAATGAGGAGCATTTTATTATTCCCCAGTCATGCTTTAAAGCTCTCCTTTGCGCGCCATTCACGCGAAAGAAAGCTGACCTCAACTTTCTCAAGTCTCCTTTCCACTGTTTCGCACATTTAATTGGCTTTTTAGTCCCGGTAAAGAACGTTCCAGTTGAATGGTGAGCTTTTTAATTGCCAAAACACTTCGCAAAGTCAGAAAAGTTAAAATGTCACTCAATGCGAGAATATGATTTATATGCAAATGATCCTTTGTTGATTTATCTCATTAATCGTCATAAATATCAATACGTAAAATAGCCCTTGGTGGGATGGAATTTGCGTTGTGGGGGGAAAAATGGTACAATTTACTGCCATGTCATTTTGCTAAGCACAGCCCAAGACAGAGCAATGCGGTGATTTAGCAGGGCAATCCAATCTCATTCTCTTCCATCTCTTCCATTTTGGGGATCATGAAGCCAATATGTCATTGAATAATCACTTGTTGGCATTTTCTTCCTTCATCCTCCTTAACACGTACAGCATTTGGAGGAAGAAAAAAGGCATCAATAACGACGTGTGGCACAGAAACCCCTTTTCCGGCACTTCCAACATGATTTGAGGGTGTGGAAAATCTCTCTTCACCCATCGTGTCTCATTTATTCAGAGAGTCTGGGGTTGTATTGAGTAACGTCACATAATGGGCAATATTCTATCAAGTGGGGATCTACGGCGGCACAGCTCTGAAAGGTTTTCCAGCTACACAAACATCCACTTTAGATCAACACCTTACAGCCCATTTATGCAGATATTCCTCAGGCCGATGGATATGGTTTTAAGAAGTGGGTGGCAAAAGAAGGTGTATGAAAATGGGTGAAATATCACCATCCAGCCACCCTTTGCCATTCCACACCCCCTCGTTCATCGGGCGGAATCAATATGGGAACATGTGCCTATATGTGCGGGCGGGGGGAGAATTGTGAGCGTAAAATGTTCGGGGCGGCAGGGAAAGTTTAAGCGCCATGTGAAAAGAGAGAGAGAATTGTATGAAATGGATGTGTACATAAAAGGTGAAACGTCCATCATGCCTTTTCATATAATAAATTCCGTCAAGAGTGTGTAAGGAGCAGAAACATTCATTGAATGGATGTGTGTTTTGCGGAGTGGCGCGGGGGTGCAAAAAAGGAGAGGACTTGAGAGTGGATGGAAAAGTAAGGGAAAACTTGACTCTTGTTGTTAGGGATTATATTTGCTGCCTAAACACCTTCGGGGCACCTTTAAGAGCCTCTCCTTCATTCACCGACCTTCTTCAACCCCTCCCCAGACTTCTTTCACTCCCCCATCATTCAATAGAGGAGAGAGAGAGCATCTGTTTGAGCACCAAATTTACCACCACCACTGAAACTTTGCAATCATTTGAGGTGTTACCTTCTCCCATCATCTCTGCAAATGAACCCCGCATTCGCATCTTCCGCAAATACGTGAAGTGTATCCTTCATTATTCTAGCTCATTTCGGATTGCTCTCGAGCGAAAAAAGGATGCTTTCAGCTCTGCGCGGAGTTTCAATTTTCACCGGCGTGAAGAGCATTTGGCTATGAATTAAAAATTCTATAAATCTTTGCTCGGGACTTGCTTTATCTCCTATTTCGCACAAAGAAGTGCGCCGCATATTAAAGTAGTTTTCATAATCCTACTTTCAACCGTGCTGAGCTTCACTCTTGAGCGTCTCCTTGAGAATATAATATATATATTTTGGCACCATAAAACGTATAATTAATAAATGGCGGAGCTTTTTATTTCGGGATATAAAAATTATTGCTCTTTCCGAAAGGTATGTTAGAGCGAGAGTATAATGAAAAACCTTCACCTGGGCTTTATTTCGCTTTTTGATGGTCCTGACATGTACAAAATATGGAATGAGAGAACTTCGCAAGATATTTCACAGAATGTCTGCCAAGCAGAGCTGCAGATAGCTGAAGTTTGCTTTCGCCCGGCGATGTGAGGGCAAATTAAAATACACTGACAAGCAGAGTGAAAATTCTCAAGCGGCAGTGGTGGAACAATAAAAAATATTTGTCAACAACTGCTGCCAAAACAGGTGCTGAAGGCTAAACTTCTCAATCGTTAAAAACTTAACGAAGTGAAGGAGGTTTGGATGAAAGTATAAAATTTCTGTAAGGCCTATAAATATAAACATTTTGCCCTTCCATTCTCGTTTTTACGTCGTGGGGATCAAAAGGAAATAAAATAACACGTTAAAGGAAGAATTACATTTCTCAAAATAATAGGTTGCAGATAATTCGATATACTGATCCGCGAAAAACAAAATGTGAAATGCGAGGAATAGCTTTTGGAGATGCTGGAAGAATTCTTTAGATGGAAATGCATTAGCTTTGCTCTCTTGTCTGACTAATTGATGAGCTTTTAAACTGCAGAGTTTTATGCATTAAAAATTCAGGACATTTTCTTCAGAAAGGAAGCATTCTGCTGAAGTTGACTAGAAAGATGAGTTTATTGCTTATGCTGTAAATAAGTCATGATAGTGTAATTGAGTCAAATTTCTCTATTTATTTTTAATTGATTACCTTTCACACTGTGAGCTTTATGCAATTTCTTATTTACGTCTTTCTTGCTGCATATCTGCTATCTATCGACTGTATTTGACCATTTAGCGGACGCATTATGAATTCATATCGTTTTATCAGGGAATTGCGATGGCAATGATGCTAAAGATATCTTGCAATTGTGTCCGGAGAAGTTTTATGTGATTTAAGGCGAACGGCATGAATGTTTGAGAGCACTTCAATCGTCATATTTCCAGTGAAATATCGAATTTCCTCGTGCAGATTCCTCGATGTCTAACTTCTCACTTTCAACTGTGACTCACACTCTTCGGGCATCAAACTTTTCCCTCCTCTAGTGTAAATTGCTGGTGTACTCCTCACACTCCCATCACGTAAGGAAAGGCAGGGCCAGAGATTTTTCAGTCGTGGAGAATTTGCCGTGTACTCGAGGATGAGATATGACAGGACAATGGATGATACCGTGAATGAAGTGTCGAGTGGAGCCAGAGAGCCATCTTTTCACGTTAGTCTTGTGCCCAGAGGCGATGACAATTGTCTTGCGACGCGATGGTGGGATCCCAGCCAACGTGAACCTCCTGCTGATTTTGCTCCGCGCCGAGAAACTCCGCCGGAGAGCATCCTTGACTATGGAGGGTGAATTTTAATGAAGCCTCCACACCCGAGAGAAATAAAGCAGGATCCCTGTTTTTCGTCATGCATCGCACCGCAGAAACAATGACAGCGCCCAAGAAAGTGCCGCAGAAGGACGAGAGTCCGCATATGTGAGGAAAAAATACCAACATCGTGAAGAAAGAATATTCTTTAGAGAGCGAAAAGGGGATAGAGCATTATGTATTTTTGCACATTCTCACAACTCACGAGAGTCACCCTCGAAATTCACTGCAATTCCACCCGCCGTGAAGTTGTTCGCTCCACTTGATAAAATTCAAGGAGTGAAGCCTTCGAGGAATACGAGGGCGATGCGAGAGAAGTTAAGATTCGCTACTCACTGTCGAGGATGCCACATAATATTGAACATTTTTTCTTATACTTTATGGGGTAAGAAGACAAATAAAAATGCTGAAATAATGCCAATTTCCACAATTTATGCTCCAAAGCGAAATGGATGCGCGAGATCGGCGGAAATATACATGAATTCTCGTGGAGTGTTTACATAGAGTAGCATTTCTCAAATTTGAAGCATCTTCCGTTCACATTTTAATAAATTGCCTCTTCAGTTTGGGCGACAGTGTCGAAATGAAATTAGATCACATGAAAGATACGAAGGATTTTTCTACAAAATTCCACCAACGAAACTTTTGGCATATTTGTATATTAAAATGACATCAAATCACTGTTTTTACGTTGAGTGATAATCTGTACAGATTGATCACAAATGAGTCCAATGACCAGTTGCAATTTCATTGAAAACACAAATCAAATGATTCATTGCATTTTCGTGGGCTGTATTAACACAACACCAAACTGATAAAACGGACAATAGAATAGCAGTTCTGATGAACCAGTCGATCAGCTGAGTAATCAGTTCACTCTGTGCCTTCAGTGAGTTCACAACTCGATCTTCTTACAATCTTGCCATGGTGAATAAGAAGTGTGGAACCTGTAGGCGCCCAATTTGCTATCGTCGGCACACTGGTGTGCCGTGTTCGGGCAGCTGTGGCAATTGGTATCACGTGCGCTGTGCTGAGCCATCAATTGAACCCGTGGAAACCAACGACTTGATAGCCGGTCTGACGAGTTGGAAGTGTGCCCGATGTCAAAATCGCAGTCGTAAACCGTCTATTCGTTCGCGCAGAGCATCTACGGATGAACCAGAGACCCAGGTAAGACGAAAAAACTAAAGTAAAATACTCTAATAGAGAGGCATGACACACAATTAAATGATATATTTCCAATCCTTGAGATGACCCTGGTCACGCAGAAGATGTATCTGATGCTGTTCGAAGAAGTCATGTCCCTGAAGACGGAGATGATTTCCTTGAAAGCGGAGATGAAGGAGATGATTTCCCTAAAAACAGAGATGATGCAGTTCAAAGCAGATATCCTATCTGCTCTTCTTATGCCCGGCGTAACATCTTCTGCATTGCTGCGGACTGGATTTTCCCCTACTGGTGAAGCTGAGAAGATAAAGGTCGAGGTTAAGACTGAGCCTTGTGGAGCAGATAACAATAGTGGTAATAATTTGATTGCTTCACTCGACCTCAGTGATAGTTGCCCGTTCTGCAATTCAACTCAGTAGGAATTTCATTGATTTAGAACCGATTAAATCACGAATTTGATAAAGCTTAAAAGTATCAATGCGTTATAGAGTAAAAGCCTTTAAAAGATAAATGTATATCCAGGCCAAATTCGTGTTAAGGAATCTAAATACAATCCATAAGTTTTGCAATTACTTTATAAATTTCTTTGGTGAGTCTTCTTGTCAAGCAAAGCTGAAAGTGAAGTCCTTTCAGGCTAGGAGGAAAAGAAGTCCCGTGCTCGTAATGATCCTAAAATACATTCCCAGGTAATCATTTAAAAAGCGAGGGGGAAAACGGAAGGGCAAGTGCTCTATTCATAATTTCGCAAAACTTGAGCTCAAAAGCGCTTTTTCACAGACTCTATAAATACTCCTGCTCTCTCTCCAACCAGCCAAAAAGCATACATCTGTCTATATAAAATGCCCCGACACAGAAATACAAGTACACTGACTGGGCTAACAACCCTCGAATCAACTACCCTTAATTGGTTGGATTCGTTATTCAAAACCATCCCCCATTACAGCTTCCCTCCGTCTCGCTCTTTCGCACCGCCATTCGGGACAGGTTGATCAGAGGCTTTGGGCGGGGGGTTTTGGGCGCGCCGAGGGGGTGACATACGATGGGAGAAAAGGGCAAAAACGAAAAGGTTTACAACTCGAATATCCCGGCGTATTTTAGCATAAAACAAAAACAAGTCATTTAATATAATATCCTATTAAATTCTGTAATTCTCACACCACAGCGCAATTCTATAGTCGGAATCTCGGTGTCTATGGACAACGCAGGGTGTTTTGTGGGGTGGTATTGTACTAAATTGAGGTGTGTATTATTGCAATTGTTTGCGAGTGAGTTTGACACAATACTTTGATGGTTGGTTAACTTCCACATGTCATTTAAATCTGCTCAGTCTCATAAATTAATTTGAGCCCTGATTTGCTCCAATTTATTTGAATTATGTGTCATTTTCAGCACCTGTTCATTTTTCGCACAATTTCCCTCAAATTCCAACGCCCACACACAAACACACACAGAAAAAGGAAGAAGAAATATATTCACAAATAATATGCACGCACATGTCTTTATGAGTGACGAGAAAAAAGGGGTAAATCTTGCGGGGCCAGCATATTTACACTCAACCCTCATTTCGATGGTGGAAATTCTTGTTCATCGCGAGAGGAGAATTTCTCAAATTGTTTTTTAAGCATGAAACCACTTGAGGAATTCTAATTAACTTCGCATTTGTGACGGCATTTGTGGCGATGCGAAATTCATATTTAATTAATCCCAACTCTTATTAAACTGCTGCCGAAATGCAGCTTAATGCGAAAAGCGCACATTTGGAGTTGGTTGAGTGATCTCTTTAGGGGGGGGGGTGAAGAAATTAAATTGACTATTTCTGGACTGTTGATTGTAGATTGATACTGATCAGACCTTCTGGATTTACACCAACCACAAGTAGTGTGTGAAAAGTCTCTGAAGCTGTTTACAGTGTGAAATTGAGGTGAATTTTTCGCAGTCTTGGGCGAGAAATAGAACGTAATATTTGACGGTAAATAGATGGAAAATTGATTAGGTTATTTGAGAGAAACTTCAATCAATCAATTCAGTGGATGGAACTTTTGGGTGTGGACAGTTTGGGAGTGAAATCGATTCCACCCACAGATTTATGACGAAGACGGCAATCTCATGTGAATTCACCTGCTAAGAGACTCGAGAGACTCACAAGAGGAGATCACATCGTCTCAACACAATTTTCGGCATCTTTTGCTCCTCACAATGCTTACAGATCATTACGCTAGCATCACGTTTGAGATATTATACACCATGGTGAAGGATAATCTGTGATTCAGCCAGTCAGATGTTGAGAGAAATGTTTTTTTTTCTTCTCTCCACACTTCTTTAAATGCTCCCCGTCTTGGGGTATTATCCCAAATGGGGGATGCAATTCGTGTGAGATTAGGACAAATTCACTGTTGCGAAGCAAGAGCTTTGCTGTCTGCTTTCGGGTGTGGAGAAGATTGTAATCAACAGGAATCGAGATCATCATGTACAAGTGACTAAAAGCTCATTTCTCTCTTCGTGCGCCCAGCTGCCATTCAGGATCATAAAAGCTTCTCGTGCAAATGAGAAGCGGATTGAGTCGAGGTCAGAAAAGGCTCCCCTTTTCAATGGCTTCACATTCACTCTATGTATATTCCACCCCTGTTCACCTGAATGGGTCAGGTGTGAGTGAGTGCGGGTGGATTTCCACATTTGTGCCTCAATACACGTCACAATTTACAACGGAGGAAATGCATTTAAGCGTTTAGAATACATTGAAGACATTATACAAAAAAGACAATGAAGTGCAATTAATTGAATGGCCTCCAATTTGGAATGTCCCTCCTCTTCCTCACAACCTTTTTGGCATGCTACATTTAACCGCTTTTGTACGCTTCTGCTAATGCTGCTTCGCCTCTGTGATTTGCTGCAGATACAAAATGAAAAAGAAACTTTTTGGTCGGTTGATTTTACCTATTCGAAAATATAAATCAATGTGGATTTCTAACTTTTCTCACATATTTGGAATAGTGTGTAAACGATGGTAAATAATGGAAAATTTATGCAGGTATTAAATGCACATGATCCCCTAATTATCTATATATTCATGGGGCTCAAATGGAGATTTATTAGTCGGTTTGATATGTGTTCCGCAGAATGCGTTTAACGACAAGCATTTAACGTCAATCTCAATACAATGGCATCTTGTCACTTCCGCCCCCATTTAATTGATCCCCAATGCAGTGCAATTGTGAGTATTTCCTTAATGAGCACCTGTTTGAAAATATGTATCGTGCTTAGTGGTTGGTAATCGATTTGAGTCGCGTCACGAGCCAAGAACCTCAGCAAATGACTCCTTGCCACGAAGTATTTGACCCTCATTTGCCACGATTGGCCAAAAGCAGCTATAAATAATGAGGGTTTTTCTTCGTTAATTTCCCGCTTAGGCGAGGCAAAAGAGTGGCGAAAATAAATCTATCAATTAGCATTTTCCTCGCACAGGCAAATTGAATGTGCGCGAATTTCGCCATGGAAAAGTAAAATGCCCCCCTTTCACCCCAATGCTCCGCGTAATCCGTTGACTTAATTGTATGTCATTTGGTTGAGAAGACTCTGTGCCATCAAAGAGATGTGACGGATCTAAAATATGTTTGGCATGGAGAAGAGAAGAGAGAGAGATTTCACTTTGAAAGAGCTTTTCCCTGTGTGCCTTTTTCTGGCCTTTTCTGCGTGCCATTGAACATTAGACATGATGGAGAATCCTTCGTCAGTGAAATGTGTTTTCCACAAAGGATTTTCGCTGGAGATGAAATAAAATATAAATTTAATAAACCATAAAAAATGATAAATGACGAGGCTTAATTAAAGCGGCATAGAATCTCTTCGAAGAGGAGACTCTTCATTTTCTGCACAAGCACAACGATGAGAGAAATATTTCTTCCACACCCTCAGCCAGAGGGTGGCTCTCGCCTCCCCCGCCCTTATCGCCCCATGATCCTGTGTGAGCTTTGGGATGATGAATTTGATGAATCGTGAGATTTAAGAAAAGATCTCACCCAGCAGGAGAGTGGGGGTGAAATGTGAAATAAATATTTCATCTTGAGACGAGAATAAAACACAAAACTGTGTCGTGCCTTTTTTGCCGTCTCCTCGTGCTGTCTTGTTCTCAACTTTGAGGGTGTTGTTGAGTTTCCTCGCAGAAAAACACGTAATATTCTTAATTCCTTTTGTTATGTGGCGCCTGAGTGGCTCACAGTTTCACCTTTCGCCACGTTTCACCCCGTTAGAAACGGTGCAATTTCTACCAAGTGCAGAACATAATGTAAATAATAATCCTGAAAATTATTAAGTATTGAATTAAAGTTGGATTTCATGCGTAAATGTAATCGATTCGAGTTCAGTCTTTTCTTTTCTTAAGGTCAACAGTTAATCTTAGAACATTCGGAATGCAACCCCATTTTCTACCGTGTACTTTTCTTAACAATGTTTTACACTGAAAGTGCGCACGGGTAAGTTTGAGAGTGAGTTTTCCCTCCGCATTATCACTATGGGAAGCGTCTTGAATTTCGTCGGTAATGTATCGTAATGACAGCTATATATAGTGTTAGATTTGATCTCGTATAACTCTAATCCATCGAGCAGATGGCGAGGGTGGTGCGGAATGTGCGGGAGTGATTCTGTGCGGGGGTGGTGCGCTTTAGTGAGGCAAGTCACGCAGAGACACAACTTCAACTTAATCTTGGTGGATGTTACGGGCACATCGTTGTGGATGGATGATGAGGGGAAGAATCTAGTTAAGCTTCTGCTCTATTACATGCTGGATATGTGTGAGTGTGTTTTAGATTGCGGCAAGTCTCTCAAGATCCTCGTGAAGTGTGAGCTTGTGGGGGTGCAAAAACACACCCCGGCATATTAGTCACATGGAGTTTCGACGAGTCCGAGGGAAAAGAATATGGGGAGGAAACTATATAACTACTATTTAAACTTTTCATCCTACCAGACTTTTTGCTCTCGCCTCTTCCGCTCCACACTGATTCATGTGTGTTATCCTTGGCTTGTCTCCGTGAGTTTGTTCTGATTCCTCCTCGCCATGACTTGGGGGATTTTCCTCAACAGCGTCGCTCTTTTTTCTCTCGTCATTCTTGGCTTCACCCAATCTTGTGTCGTGAGACCCACATGTAGCGCAGTTGCTGTGATAAAAAGGACAACAATGAGAGAAAAAAGGGCGCCGCAGGAAGAAGAGGAATTGAGGAAACCTCCTACGTGGACATTTATTAGATACCGTACAGATTCGGTCAATGATTGCGAAGATTCTCCGCCAGACAACGCACAACTAATCCAGTTCCAAGAAGATATATAATTGGCCGAATGCCATAAATAACAGAAGTCTATGAGAAATATATCGTCTGAAGTAACGACTTCAGGATAACACCTTAATTGTCGTCTATAATTGGTTCGAGTCATTGAAAACAGATATAAAATACACACATGTATTTTTAACAATTCATGCCCAAATTATCAGCAGCGTAAAACATATTAATAATGCAAATTTAAGGGTGTA